AATTTATATAATATATAATTAAATTTAATTCTTTTAGAAAGATATAGTTAATATTAAAATACTTATTCTCTTTTAAAATAGAAGTATTAAAAAGTATTTCTTTAATACGCTTACGCTTAGTATTAAGGCTTTTCTCTATATTATTAAAGTTAATTATAATAATTTAAGCCTTCTTCTTCTTTTTTCTTATTCGATATAAACTTTTTAAATTTTAGATAAAAGAACTTAGTTTAATATTTAGCGAAGGAATATCTAAATTTATATTCGATAATCTTATATAAGAGGTAAGTTTTACGATTAATTTCTAAGTTATTAACTTTATAATATCTAGCGAACTATTTATTTTTACTCTTATCGCTATTATTATAAATAGCGTATATAATAATATCGCTATCTTTAAATAATAATAGATAAATTTCTTTATTTATCGCGATATAGATAATCTTATTAAATTTAATAGTCTTATTATTATATAGCTTATAGATTTAAGTATAAATTATTATAAAGATATTAAAAGAGTTTTTAAGTCTTATAAGAAAGAGCTAAATTAAAAAGAGCTTTAATAGAATAAGCAATTTATATAAATTAGCGATTTTAATAATAATTTTATAAAAATTCTTTTTATATTAGCGAATATCTCTTTTAAAAGTAAAAGTAATATTAAGTAATTAGCGAATTAGCTTTATATAAAGCTCGAAGTCTTTAGACTTATAATATTTAGCGATAGCGTCTAATATTATTTAAGAATTCTTATTATTATAATTAATTTCGATAAGCTAGCGATTATTATATTTAAGACGTTAAAAAATAGCTATATAAGTTTTAAGCTTAATAATTTTAATAAAGAGTAAAAGATTATTAAATATTAATTAGTTTTTAATATCTTATCTTTATCTAATATATCTTATATTAGATTTTAGAATAACGATAAAGATTAAAGAAAAACTATCTTCGCTAAATTAAGATTAATTAAAAATATTAATTATAACGCGCTATAACTAATTATTTAAATTTATTATTATTAAAAAATAGTTTAAATAATAATATATAAAATATTAATAAAGAGAGTAATAATAGCGATAATAATAATAATTTAATTACTATTTTAGATAAGATAGTAGAGTTAAAAAAAGATTCTAAGAATAATTTTAAAGTAAGTAAAATAGATTTTTTAGTATAAAGGTCGAATAGCTTAATATTATTTATAGAGCTAAGTATATCTTTACTAACTTTAAATTTAAAATTAATAAAACTATTATTCGATAAAATAGCGAAAGTAAAATAAATACTTTAATCGTTATTAGAGTTTTTAAAAATCTTATTAATACTAGCTAATTATTGTCTTTAAACTTTAAATTCTTATATAAAAAATAAGAAGTACTTATATATAGAGCTGCGATAGATATAGACGATTTAGTTAAAATAAAAGATATTTAATAATAAAAATAACTTATAAATATAGACTAATTTCTAATAAAATTATATAAAATATAATTATTATAAGCGTATAAACCTTCTTCTTAAAGGGGGATTAATATCCTTCTTATATTACTTATTTAGAGACTTAGATTTAGAATATCTACATTACTAACTACTATTATAAAACTTCGAAGATTATTTTAACTTTATAATTACGATAATAAGATATAGATAATCGCGGAAAAAGAATTTAATAATAGAGTCTTAGTCTTCTTCTTTAAGGGGCTTTTAAAGATCTAGAAGCTAATATTAATAAGATATTCTTATTATTTTAATCTTAATAAATTTATAAATATATTAAGAGATAGTAATATTAGCTCTAAAATACTTTAGATTATAATTAGACTATTAATATTAATATCTAACCACTTTTAATTAATAATTATTAATTCGATAGTTAATATATAATTTTAAATTTAATATTAATATAGAATAACTCTACTTTTAATAAAATTAAGTATTCTAATTTAGCGAAAGCTAATAAGATTTAGAGGTCTTAGTAGTATAACTCGATTATATAGCGATATAATTATATATTTAATATATTTAGCGAGTTTAATACTTCGACTAGAGGTAATATATCTTAGCTCGCTTAAGATAAAAGCGAAAGTAGCTCTTAGTCCCTTATATTATTAGTGAATTATATTCGCTTAGACTTATAACTATTTTAAGAGAAGAAAATACTCTTATTAAGAAAGTTAAAAGAATATCTCTATAGCTACTACTATCTTTATATAATAGACTTTAAATATTATAAGATAGATATTAAAAGTCTAAGGGCAGTCGTAGTTATAGAGGTAAATAGTAGTTATAATATAATAGTTATCGAATAAAGTTTAGGCTTATAATCTATGAAAATATGAGATAAGATACTTAGTTATTAACTATAGAGTTACTATAAAGAAAAGAGCGACTAGATATAAATACGCTAAGGCGTATTACGTAACCATATCACGTGACCGCCAAGACGCTAAGAGTCACGTGATTCGAATTTCAATAGTCTATAGATAACGTATTATAACTTGAGAAGATCTTTAGAAATATAATAATAAGGGAAGTCTACGTAATGGATCTAATATAAGATTATCGTTAAGTAATATAAGTTTAAGAAATCGATTTACGAATATAAAAAAATAAAAATAAGATCGTACTAAAGATATCGAATGATTTTATATCTTTACTAATTTTAATTAGTTGCTACGTTTTTAATTATAGATAGCCTTAATAACTAAGTTTAAATACTTCGTCGATATCTATATTAGAGCGAGAGTATTTACTATACTTCTATATATTAACTTAGTTTTTATACTTATACTCGTATATCTTATCGATATTTAAATTCTCGTTATTATTTACGTTAAAACGGATTATAATCGAGTATTTTCTCTTTTTAATATCGATCTCGACCTTTACTTTTACGTATTATTCTATAAATCTCTTTACTTTCTTTTTAATTAGTCTCTCTATAAATTATTAATAATTAAGCTATTTTCTTATAATATACTTCTTTAGTTAAGATATAGTTTAATTTCTTTTATATATAGTAAGTACGTTATATAAACGAAGCTCTAATTTCTCTCGTAAATTATATATAATATTAGTGTTTTTGAAATTGCTTTCGTATTCGGCGTATATTATTAAGTTTTTATAGAATTTAAGAAAGAGCTAACTCTCTTAACTTATTCTACTATAAATACGCTAATGCGTCTATTAAATAATAAATAACGATACTTCGTATATATTACTTAGATAATTTAGAAGGACGTCGGTTATAGAATATGAGCGATATCGTCGTCTAATAGATATATAGTAATTGGCCTTCTCTCTAAGTCTCGCTATAACGTAGGTAATTTTAAAAGTATTAATAAGAAAATAATCGTTATTATAGGTAAGCTTGTCTTGGATTTTTATTTTCTAGTCATTAAATGATATTGAATTAGTGCTTATAAAGATAGGTGAATTCGATAGCTTTGGGCTGAGTGGCTGTCTGACTAGCTGTGGCGAGATTGGTCGATATCGATGTCTTAGTGCTTCGAAATCTCGTGATATGGGTGGAGGTGGGGATGGGGGTGGAGGAGTAGAGATGTCAGCCGAGTTTTGGGCCTGTATCTCCTCTTGATGACTTGGTGTCTCGCGATATCGCTGATAAAGTTCCTTAGCAGATAGAGAACGCTGTATCTGTGGTATGTGGAGTGTCGGCGAGTTAGGAGGTGAATATCTTTTATGTAGGTCGTCGTATGTAAGATAGGGATGGCCGCGGTATATACTCGTGGATTCCAGAAGTGAGTTACTTGATAGAGCGAGGACACCAATAGATCAAGCGACATGCCGCTGAGTGGAAATATCTATTGGTGTCCTCGCTCTATCAAGTAACTCACTTCTGGAATCCACGAGTAGGTGATCGGCGATGTGGAGGGAGGTATCTTGGTGTTGATGTAGGTGGATTTGAGTCGGAATTCATGATGTGTTAAATGTAGGTAAAAACGGAGCGGAGAAGATAGGCGTAAAAATGGCGATTTTGGCTGGGCTTCCCCGCCGAGGGTTATTATAAATATCGAATAATGTCTTTGTCGAGTGGAATGGAGAGATCTCTGGAACTCTAGTACTGTGAAGGCGTATGCGAGTTGGGAAAGGTGGTAGATCTCTATATTGAGAGTCGAAATTTGACTGTGATGCTCGAAATAGTGTTGTTCCTTCGCGGAAGTATATAACACTCGTTTCTTAACCGATTAAGTCGCTGTAAAGATTATGAGTACTCTGAGTAGTGTTCTTTCGAATGATAAGAAGTCCGCCGGTAGTTTGTTATTTGTTATGGATTCTTTGCGGGGAATGGAGCGGAGAAGAATTTCTTGTCTTCGATGTAGGGAACTCGTTTTTTGATGGATTGGGCTATCGTTGATAATGTAGGTTGTCTGATGTAGGTTCTTTCGAATGGTGTATGTGACTCCTGTATGATAGAAATACCCAGCGTTTTCTTTATCAGGCTCGGTCGCTTGCTTCGAGTAGAAAGTGAAAAACCCGTCAATTTTCTTCGCCGGGGGGGGGGTATGAAGGAGTCTTATTATAATGTCAGGACCAGTATAGGTGCGATATTAGTATGGGTGAGGTAGATAGGATAATAAGGCTACCGAACTATGTATGGGGGAAGGAGGTATGATATGGTAGGGGATGCCTCCGCCAAGGCACTAGGCCATAGGGCTGAGTGGTGTGTTAAGGGTACGCTCGTAACACTGCGGACCATACCCGGGTAGCGAACTTGATCCCATCCGTGGTTGGATCCAACCGTCATATACATAAAAGATTGAAATGTACAAGAGCGGAAAGGTAGTCAAGCCATGCTACGTTTGCACCATAACAAAGGCTTTTCTATTCAAGGATATGTGTTTAGTAGATTGACTGCCGAGACTTCGCCATGTAAAGTAGAGCAGAGGTTAAGCCCGAATGTATTACCGTAGGGACTCAGACTTCAAGGTCAACTGACTGACGCGCAATATCGCCGTAATACCTCTTTATTGCCCAATTCAAGAGGGGCGATGGCCGTCCTTGATAAGCCATTCAGAATTTGGGGGTTTATTCTCGTCTTCAATCTTCTGGATCATATCGTCGGGCGCCGCGCCAGCGAAAGGTATCTCGCAGTAATCCCAGTCGCAGTTTGACTCAGGCACAAGAGAATCTCTCCGGGGACCCATTCGTGGCGCATTGTACAGGGTGCCACAATCCCGCCAGCGATCCCCGGATGGCTTTGGAGCTTACGGTGCTATTGATGAACGAGATGGGCTTGACACGGGACTTGGGTAGCGATGAAGGCCATTCGAACCCACCTTCGGCGCACTGCTGCAATAGCAGTGATTGGACGCTGGGAAGAGCGAGGAATGGAGCAGCGCTGACAAGATCGATCCCGTTGAACCCGTCGGATAGGTTGCTTTCGATCCATTCGAGATTCACCAGGGCAGGCGGCTGGGGAGACAGAGCTATGCGCGACATGATTGTTTCAAAGAAATGACCTAGATTGTTTCCACCACCGCAGCTGGCAGGGAGCTAGAGTAGACGCAGGTTTCAGAGCATGGGTAGGATGACGCATAGAAACGGATCTTGATCCTTTTTAGATGCGAGTTCTACCAGTTCGTCTTCTTCATTTGATAGTATGTAAGGCGAAGCTCGGACGAATTGATTGAATGCTGCCAACTCTTCCGGGGTAAGATCTAGGACCATTTCCCTCAAATTGAATACTAGGTAACAAACAGTGTCAATTCATCAACAATACAAAGGTGTGATCGTACTACTTGTGTCTTGGATTGTCCAGAGTACAATATAAAGTAAATGGAGGTTGGAAGATGCTGTGCGGAATGTATCCGCGCCCTTGCGCTCCTTTTCTGTTGTCACCGCTTGTCTCTGCAGGGACTCTACTCTTTCCTTCAACTTCAACCTCCAACCAATCCTTCTTCTGCTGACCCACCTTTCATTGGCTGGATGTAGCTGTCACCGTCAGATTACTCAACAAGCTGACAGTTTATCACCCATCATCATTCTTCAGCCTTCAAATAGAAGCGCACAGAATGGCCTGCGCCGCAGCTGGCCTCCGCTCAGGCGCCCCACTAGCACCAGCTGAAATGCGCCCATCAAGGCATGCCCATCTTGTCTATGGCCGCACTTCCACCACGACTTTGGCTCTTCAAGCACGCCGCACTCGTGGTCAGGGTGCACTGGCACGCTGCGCCGAGCTGACGCTCATCCTGGGGCCAGCCAGATATACGTCAAGCGAATATCCGCCTCGTCTCCGACAGTCGTCGAAGAATCATCTTCTACCACCCTGAACAAGCTATAAGTCTTGGATCAATCTACATATAAGGGCCCGAAGACTGCTTCTCCCCCAAACTATCTATCCTTCCCGCCGGCATGACTTCCTCAATGGACACTTTTAGCGAGGCCGAGGTCACCTTCGAGGCTGGGAACTGGGCTGCAGCCCGGGAAAATTTTCAGAAAGGGCACAAGGACAAAAAAGCAATGGCAGAATTTTTGGCGCACCAAACTACACCTCAGCAAGCTAAAAGTAGCTGCCTTGAAGCTCAGACGAGGGCAAATAGCCAATACAATCCAGGGCTGGGAGGGGTCCTGTCGAAGATTGAGACTTTCATGAAGGTTGGAGATTTAGCGATGAAGTCGGCTCCAGAGAGTGTGGGTTTGGCATGGACAGGCATACGGCTGTGCCTGCACTCGGTGGAGGATGACTTTGCAACTTTCAACCTCTTCAGTGGGGCTGCTGCGGACATCATTGGCATTCTCATATCGTGCCGTGTATATGGGAAGATGTATGGGGGACATAAAGGGCCAGAGGATTTCCAAGAGCTACACAGAAAGGTCGTGGAGTACATACCCGGCATATACACGGACATCTTGAATTTCAGCTACGCGATGAACAAGCACATGGGGAGAAACACAGGCTGTGAGCCAAGTCCCTACTCCAGGACGAACCCGTACTCATGAATCATAGTAAGAATCATCCGTGGCATGTTGACAAGTGCATCGGCCAAATTCCAACCAATGATCGACGGTATCCGAGCAAATGAACAAACAATGTCAGGGTACGCCAGCAAGGCCACAAATCAGCTCACCATCCACTATCAAGAGGTCGGTCTACAAAAACAGGGAGTTGGCCTGCAAATGCAACAGACTATGATGGCCGACCTGTCCGTCATTCGAGACACCCTAGAGTCATCGATGGAGGTCAACAAGATTTACCTTAACCAGATCCGCCAATTAGAGGAAGAGAAAAAGAGCATGAAGAAGAAGACTCCTCTTGACAAAGCAAAGGAGCTTTTCGATGACAATGCGAAACGGTTGGAGCCAACTGCTGCGGCCGAGACTGCTCTTGAGAAGCACAAATCACGAAGAGAGAAGGACACCTGCAACTGGATATTCGAGCTCGAAGAATACAGAACTTGGCGCTCGTCAGCGGAGAGTAGCCTACTATGGGTCTCTGGCGTGGGCGGCCTGGGCAAATCGATCCTCATGTCGACCGTGATCGATCGACTCCAAGAAGCCTTTAAGGAGGACAAAAGTTGCTCTGTTCAATACTTCTTCTGTTCCGCGGGCGAAGACTCGACCCGACTAGTTGCAAGAATTAAGAAGCAGTTGCTGCATCAGCTATATCGAACGGCACTCTCTGATGAGTCGTCCGATATTCTTGACAGGTCGAACGAGGTGATATCGAATTTCCTTGGGAAGAAAGACTCTGCAGATTCAAAGCCCGGTTCCCAGCAGAAGAAATCCGAAAAATCCGTTGGGTTTGAGGACGCCTACCCCAGCCTGGCCAAGATACTTGGCAAGAAGATCTTCCTTGTCATCGACGCTTTGGATGAGTGCACTGATAGGAGAGACACTGGGATACTGAAGACGCTTCAAGAGACAATATCAGCGTCCGAGCTTCCACTGAAGATTGTGGTCTGCAGTCGCCCCGAGCCAGATATAGTGGACGATCTCGTCGACAAACCCGCTATCAAGGTCGAAGATCACAACGGGCCTGATATCGAGAAAGCCGCCAAAGCCAAGCTGGAAGATTTGCCCGGTCTGTCATCAGACGAAAGGGCGCTGGCCTGTAAATCGATTGTTGAGAAGGCAAAAGGGTTATTTCGATGCGTTGACCCGGCAATTGAATTCCTGAAAAAACCTTGGCGGCGCCCTCTGGAGAAGAGGTTGGCGGAGTTGCCAGATGGTCTCGACAACTCGTACCAGCAGATTTTGCGCCAGACCGATCCCGATTACCTGGAGCTTCTCAACGTTGGCTTGACCTGGAGCATCTTCGCCCAGATCAAGCCGACTGTCGCTGAAATTATGGACGACTACAGCTGCGCCTACGCGGAGGGCATTGAGGGCACCGATGAGAATCCTTACGACACTATTGACAACCATTTGATTGGGGATCAAATCCGAAGAGCAGGAAGCGGCACCTTCCTTGAAGTGGCCGGAAATGAGGTCTCTGTTCGACACACCACTGTCAAAGAGTTCTTCCTCAAGGCAAATCCGGCAGCAGACATCCCCAATGGTCATTGCGTGGACGACCTGTGTGCTAAATGCCAATCGAAAAGGTCTGCTGACCAACCTTTGACCATGTCTGAGAAAGAGGGGCAGCTTCGCATGGCTATTACAATCTGTGAGATATCCACGTCGTGCTAGGCCGCCTTGCGAAAGCTAATATCGCGCATTAGTCAAGCATCTTAATTCGCCACTCTTTCAGAGGCGGTACCTTCGAAAAGAAGATGACGACATCAAGCCAGCAGAGCCAGCAGATGCAATCCCAAATCGGACAGATGGCGCCGTGAACGAAGACTCGAAGAACGGTGAACATAGTACCGTAGCAGCCAATGATAACGGGTCCCCCAACAAAGCGGCGGATAGGGCAAGTCTGGTGAGCGGAGATCCACCAGGTGAAAACGAGAACGGTATCACTGCTGGTAGCACCCTTAAAGAATCATCCGCTCTCGGTGGAGAGAAGGCCCCATTGGACGTCGTCGACGTTGATGACACTATGAACGCGCAGAACGCTCCATCGAATGGTGACGACTCCAAGCACCTTCGCGAGGATCCCACAAGTTTGGACGTAGAGCCAATAGCTAAGGAAGGTGGTGAAGCCGATGCTGCGGTAGCCTCGGAACAACCTAATCAAGAGCCATTTCCAGACGACGATGACGATGGTGAAGGCGGCAGGCGAGATTCGGAGATCTTCGAGGAACCGGTGGCCGATGGTGCCCAAGCGCCTGTGAGACCTAAACGATATGAGCTTTCCTATTGGCCTGCCCACCTCGCAAGTGCGGAGAAGGTTTGGACAGCGGAAGAACGCGAGAAGAGCGACGAGTGGAAAGAGCTTTGGAAGCTTGTCATACGATTTGTTTGCGAGAGCCCAGAGGCCTTCAAGATATGGCAACACCACTACATGGAGCTTGATGAAAGCTACGAAGCCGACAACACGCTCTTGAGTCCTTTACAAGTGGCCGCTGCTTACGATATACAAGGGCTCGTAAAGGTACTCCTAGACCGCGGTGAGCCGGCGGCCGCAGAAACCGAAGATGGGCGCTCGGCGCTGTGGTTTGCGGTAGGCTCACCTGATATCGAGATCGTAGCGCTCCTCTTAGAAAACGGAGCGAGCCCTAATGCACGCAAAGACTTCCCACCGCCATTTCACGTCTTGCTATGGCGGACTCCGAAACTCGAATTTGTCAGTCTTATGCTTGAGCATGGGGCCGACTGCAACATCGCAGACCAATGGGGGTTCAACGTCATGCACTGGTTTGCGCTGTTCGGTTCCGATGTCGAGGTTCTCAAAATCCTTTTGAAAGCGCATGGTGACATCAATGTCCCCGATTCGTTCGGAGAGACTCCGTTACACAAAGTGATGTACAACTCTCAAGACTTGTCCTTGGACCTACTTCGTGCATTCCTGGATAACGGTGCCGATGTCAACAAAGATGACAAAGACTCACAGAGTAAGTTCTCTTCAGGTACTTCGTCTCCAATGCACTGACCACTTCCAGGGCCATTGTATGAGGTTTGCGCTGTTGGAAATACAGAGGCGGCCAAGATGTTGCTTGACCATGGAGCTAACATTCATGATGACGATGTAAGTAGTACCGCATCCGCTAATGTCATCATCCGCTCGACAAAAGCTTTATCAACAGCAATCAGTCCAAACTAACATTCACGTAGCTCTTTGGGCAAACCGGCGTCCACATCGCAGCTGCATTCGGGCATTTAGACATCGTTCAGCTATTAACACAACGCGGCGCCAACCTAGAGCTGGGCGACAAGCATGGACGTACCCCATTCTTCCTCGCCTGCTCTAGTGGACATTTAGAGACGGCACGTTTCCTGCTTCAAACGATGCGCGAAAAAGAGCACAATAGCATTCAGACAGCCATGAACGATGGTAGGACTCCTCTGAGCAAAGCAGCTGGCAGAGGCCACGTCGGAGTCGTGAGGATGCTACTCGAGGAGATTGACGCAGCCTCTGCGGTCAATGTCCAAGAAACAGCACAAAGGAGGACAGCACTTCACTGGGCAGCCTACAATGGCAGGATCGAAGTTGTAGATGTTCTTTTGCAAAAGGGTGCCGACGCGACGATCGAGGATTCAAAGGGCAAGACCGCTCTTACTCTGTGTGGACAGGGTTGGGCAAAAGACAAGTCCGGCGACCGGATACCAACCATCGTTGCTCTGGTCGATCATGATCGGGAGACTGCTGCCAAAGACACTGAACTCATGGCCGCCGCTGCCATCAAAGGAAGCACGAAAGTCATCGAAAAATTGCTAGATGCGAGAGCACACCCGAGCAAGCAAGACGAGCACGGCTGGACACCACTGCAGTTAGCAAAGCAGTATGGCAACACGGATGCTGCAACCCTCTTGGCCAAGCGCGGTGCTGAGGTCGGATCAAGGCCTAGTCGATGGAATACAGAAAATGAGAATATCAAAATGTCCGAGGATGGCTGCGAACTTGAATACGTAGGAGAGCGTGAGTCCTTCTTGATGCTTTGTATCCAGTGGTCGGATGCTGACGAAGTCGATCAGCGTGCAACGATACATCTGGAGTCCAAATCCTTGCGAATCATCCAATACCAGCTGGGATCGAGCGCTTCTACTACGAAATCGAAATCAAGAAGGACGTAGGAGATGATACAAAACTGTGAGCATCTCAACGCCTTAAAAGTTCCTTATCACCAAGTCTAATCATTATCCCACGACAGCTTCAATGCCATCGGGTTCTCAACGCAACCTGCGCGCCTTGATCGTATGCCAGGCTGGTATAACGCCACAGCCCCTAGCTTCGCCTACCACGGCGACGATGGTCGTCTCTACGCCAACAGTAACCAGTCATTGAAGGAGTATGCGGGCTCCTATGGTAAGGGGGACACAATTGGTTGTGGTGTCATCTATAACGACAGTGTCGAGGGGACGATCTTCTATACGCGGAACGGCGAGCCTCAAGGTATGATAGTACTTACATTCTCCCTCACTTCTCGCCTATGCACAAGTTGACAGGTAGAGTAGGACCCGCAATTGACAAAGACGTCAAAGGTCGTCTTTATCCGGTCATTGGCATGACAGAGCCTGCCGGCATTGTGGTCAATTTTGGTAACGATGTCGAGAGCAAGCCCTTCAAGTGGGAGCTAGGTAATAGCGGCAAATACGACGTTGACGCTGTGAAGATGAAAAAAGAGGAAGAGCCTGTCACGGTGCAAGTACCCATCGAATTTGGAGTCTCGAATCCGCCTATATGAATGTAAGTCCATGGAGAAGTTTGTGCGATAGCAGTGCGAGTTGTTTGTTTCGTGGTTGTGGTTGTGTTCGTGAGCAATGGTGCTGTCCATGCATAGCGATTTGCATCTGCATGGCGATATACGTCACGGTCTCGTGGCCTTGGGGTATTCTTGCTATTTTGTCATCTACACTCCCTCACACATCTTCGCCGCTGCCACATAGTTGATGTCTGTTCCAGCGAAGCACTGTTCCTGAGACGGGGATGCGGGCGGTCAAGACCCCTGAAAATTTACTAGCTGCGTCATGGAGCCTGCGACTAGCGTGGTCCACCTGTTTCTGAATCGTATATAAAGTCAAGAGCATAATGGTCTGCACCGATTGCGCCACGTTTCCCATAACTCGGTAATGCATGGCTCAGCCACATTGCAACTCATCAAAAAGAGAAGCTCCATTTACAGTTCTGTAGGCAACAACATCTAGTAATGCATCAATCAAAGATGGAAATGCGACCTTCTTAACGCTATGATTCAAGGCGTCGCGCAGGTAGGAACACATCGCGCTGAACCAGATCAGCATTTCACGATCTCATATAGGGGTTACTACAATAGAGCGTCCACACATTGCAGTACAATGAAGAGTGATTCGTGCAAGTATGCCGACTTTGTATGTTGTGCGAAGCAGAGCTCCCACTTGATGAATATGGCAGAATCCATAACTGGTAAGAATCCGGTCCAGACAACGTGCCCTCAGCTATAATTCTCCATGCATCCTTTCCGTCAAAGGCTCAGCGATCTCAGCACCCGCCCCACAGCGGCCACGCGTGACCGAGATCAGGTTATGGCTGTTTGAGAACCAAGGGCCGGGGGCTTGGTGGCGCGGCTCTCTATCCTTGGGTTCGGTCCCCGGATGAACTATAGAGGATATCTATGGGGTACTTTCATCGTTTATGCATCACTATGCTGTCGCAGCCGATGGGATATTGCCGTTGCTCGAATTGGGACCAATCCCGTCGAGGACCACTGAGGACTATTCCGGCGGAGGTTTATGAGTTCGTGAGTTCGTCGTCCTTGTTGCGCAACAGTGGACTTGGCGCGCTACCTTTGATATCCGAAACGACGGGGTCAACAATGAAATCTGGCAACTATCTTTTGTGGCTCGAGATGAGGTTTGTATGAGCTTCTACGACTGCTTTAAATCAATTGATTGCATATACTACTGTTGGTGTACGCAAGCCACGATGCAAGCCTCGCTGTCTCACGGATGCATCCTTCATCATCATCGAATCGAATGATCATGCTCCAGATGCATATTTGGGCTTTATGCGCTCGATCCTTCATTGCTTATCAAGCCACAAAGCCCCAAGGCGTTCAGCTCCATTCGCCTGTGTCAATGGCCTCGCGTGACCTTGACGGTGGCTGTTTTCATCTTCGAAGCCTTCTATTCATAGCATCCGGAGCCGCCGTTCCGGGCGGGACGAATGCGAGGCGCATTGCACCCTTTAGCAGATCCAATCGCATACACTGTTCCAGCCATTGGATATGGGAGGCTAGGAGCCTTACATCCGGCCCTTAATCGGCTTGCATTCTTAGGCGCGATGCCGTCGGGGTCGGCCTGTACGAAGCCGGTGGAATGGCCGACGTACTGCTGTCCGGTTTCCCGCCTGGGCATTAGAGGTACATACCCTCTCTTCGACTTCAGCATATAACGCATGATTTTACCCAATCAGATCGATAGTACTCAGCCATGAACCTTGTCCTTGGAGCGGCCCTAGACGATCTGGCGTGTTCGGCTGCATCTACCTGCATCTTGTCAGCAAGGGCTCGGTTAGAAGGCAGCCGTCACTTCTGTTGTCTCACTAGTTCCTTTCTCGTCACCATCGACTTCACAGCGAGCTCTCCTCGCATGGGTAGAACGGATGGTGAAGTTCCGCGGTCCCCGACGAATGATCAGAGTGAGTCAACGGAGGCCTAAGAAGTAATGCTGTCGGACCGACATCCAGCTCAAGGTGGTGTGATCGATAGGTAGCGCTGGACTGCTAGGTATGCGATCGCATGCAAGTTTGGCTACGAATGTGTCAGGCAGAGTACATGGAAGGCTTAGAGGGGAGGTTGTCGGAACGACGTTTAGCTCAGACTGGCGCGCTCGTTGCGCATCCTGATAGCTCCGCAAGTCTGCCGACTCTGCGGTCGATGTCTTCCCTTACGTTGCCTGTGCAGATTCATGCATGCTTGACGGTACATGTCTCGGATGCAAAGTACTTGGGCTGCAATATCCCTTTCTGGTTGGCTTCTAAGATTTTTGTTATACTGAGTATCTCTCGCCGGTCTTCCCTCCGCAAGGCCAAGAGATAGAATCGAGATGTGCTCCGCACAGACTTCCCGTCGCTCTCGGAGGTATAATTCATCCAGGACCCTCGATTCTGTGATTTCCCCCTATCTGCGAACACCTCTAGAACCTCACAGGCTCTCAGGAGAACGAGAAACATTCACATCCACGTCAACCATTTCCACATTTCTGAAACCCTCTGTGTTCCTTTTGATAACCTCCCAGAATGTCTCCCATCTCATTGCTTGGACGTTCAGCCCAGATATATGCGGACGCCGCGGCCCTCGGTATAGACATTCCCACCAACCACAGCCTCTTCGAAGGTGGTGAGCTTTTCGACAAAACCCTGCTTGAAGATCTTCGCGACCAGGTCTACATGCTCCGCGGATGCAGTGGCGAGCCTGTTGCGCACATGCCGGTAAGTCAGATCCAAGCATCGTGACGATGGATGTCGTTGACCGGCTGAGAAATTTGACAACATGTGTCCTCGCTGCGCTGAACAGGGGATTGAGCAATACGTCTTGCCCGGCAAGCATTGCCCTCGTTGCACCCAGCCGTGCTGAGTGCTAAAGGTTAATGTATTCGTCCTTGGAGCATGCGGACTCGAGCTGATTAGGCCGCTTACTTTACAGGGAGGGGTTTACGCCTGCTGATCTCGAGGCTGAGGTTTGAATCGCCGACCGACCACGTTTCTACCTACCCGGCAAACCTTGCTCTGGCCTGTGGAGCAGTGGACAAGGTGAAAAATATACAGGCAATCTGGTTTCCCTTTCACTTCGACCCTTATCTGTGACGGCTTGAAATATTGTCGAGCGTCTCGATCATCAAGATATACTTGTGGTTGCTCGTATCTTCGCATCCGCCTAATGCAAGACTTATGACTCATGGTAGTTCCTAGGACGGCCTCGATAGCCATGTAGTCAGTTTAATCTATAAACATGTGTTCACAGTTCTGGACCTTTTTCTTTGCTGTCAGAGTTGCCGCTCTTCACTGCTGCATTGAATGCCATTTTGTCACATTCCAGGTCCCTCTCGATGAAAATAACCTACATAACAAAGCACAAACAAGCCAATCGATACTCTTGATTGCAGGTACCCCAAGAAACTCGCCTTGGCTTCGCTGCGACCTCTTGCGTTGTTCTCTCTATCCATCCAACTCCCCACATTCTCTAATTTGAATCACGGCTCTTGGTAGGTACGTATTCAATCGCGAACGTCTGGCAACGGTATTTGCTGTTGCTACCGCCCATCACATAAACAACAAAATATCGCTCAATCGCTTTATCTCCCGCATGCCAACCCCAAAATCTCTAATTGGCCCCGGGAATTTTGTCACGAGGCAGCCCACAGCTTGGCACCCTATGTTTAACCGCCTGTCCTCGGCCTATGAGAAAAGGACCTGTGGCACACCTCCATCTCCGAGCATTCGCCCTTCGTCCAAACGTTTGGCTCCGCTTGATGGTGGGTTGGAAACGATAACGTGCTTGTTTCTTCACGCCATGCAGCTGTTTCTTCACGCCATGCTGGCCCGCTTTCTTCACGGGTGCCTTCCCGAGTCCCGGGGCTGGAGATACACGGGACTCGGCAGGACTCTGAATGGATACGTGGTCGCCGCACGGACCGCATGGGGTGACATGCCGGTACCGCATCGACGATCATATGCAAAGAGGCATGCAAGAGGCCAAAGAAAGTCGAGATTAGGTCTTTAGGGAATTGGTGGCCAGACGATACTAATTGACCGTGTTTCTTCTCTTGCATGACGCAGAGCACGGGCCACGGATATGGTTGCCGGTTGGTTCCTCCCTCGGAGGAATTCATCCTAAATCCACCCGTGGCTTTCTTTCGGACAGTCAGTTGGCTCCTAGGCTTCCACAATATAGATCGGCGAGAGGCGCGTGCCCTCGAATATTTTACAAAAGTATAGTCAACAGTGACTGAGATCAACCAAAGAAGAATGCTTTGTTGTCGTGTCTTAGCCTCGAAAACGACAAAATGCATAGCAGTAGCGAACAGTGCTCTCAAATGCCAGATACGACTTTCACTGGGGCAAAGTCAATAGCTTGATATGTCACCAGCGGCTTCCCTTCCGGACTTCTCTTTCCGCCACTCGGAGTGTGGATTGATAGATTATGGTGCAACCCTTGTGGAACTCACGGACCTTTCTTCCAGTAGCGCGAAGAACTGGTGAAGGATGATCACTATAGGTAGTGGCAGTCTCCGTAGTACCACATTAATCTGATCAAGCACCAGGGGACGTGCCGTGTGGAACGGACTGGTCCGCGGGGAGATATGAAAGACGGCACATTTCCTGTATCGAAGTCGAGGTCAGCCGACCTGATATGTGTCGAGGCAGCTCAAGATACATTGAGTGAATCTTCTAACAAGTACCTGAGAGCCAGTGGTTGCTGTACTGGCTGACCTATGGCTCAACAATGTTGTGCCTTAGGAATTAGTCTTTTGAATATTGGCACTGAACCTTGGGGACCAGGAATCGCTCCACGAGAAACACGAGAAAGGCATGCTTTAACGTGCAAGCAACAAGCAGTTTTGAGCGTTAATTACTGCGCTTGTTGGCAGGGAGAATATTGACTATCTCGAATGACTGCCAGAGGAAAGTTGAAGAAAGTTTTGCCTCAACTGGTGGAAATCCGCGCTATCCTAGATTGAGCTTAGAAGCGCTTGGCATCTTGGATTGTCCTTGCGAGATCCGCTTCACCTCATCACCGTTAGCGATGACCATGGCTACAGAATGGTCGCGCGCTCCAAGACAAGGGTGTGAGATCGCGGTCACTGTTATGCTGTCGCCTTAGGTACTCAGTCCACTTACAACCCTCCGTCGCCGGCTCTCTGGGAAAACGAAAGCGAGGGCAAGAGTCCGCTGCAGGCTCAGTGGGAGCAGTGACATCGATGTCATATGGCTTCGCACCAAGCGTCAAAGAGGAGGTGAAACAATTCAATAGGGGATCCCAATGCTGGCATTGTAGTGCGCCCAAGTCGCACATTTGCCACGTCATTGGTCGGCGCGAGCGCGTGGTAAGAGTCAACATCACTGTCGGAGGGTAGAGCACAGTAACTGACAGATCGCAGCTCTTTCAAGAGTTGCAGCCTCGAGGCCGCCTTGGTATACATCATTCAGACCAAGACGGAAACGCCCATTCCCCTTTGTCCTCTATGCCATGACGCCCTAGACGAGATCTCCAGCTCGGGCTGAGTCTTCATCCCCACAGATTTACCGCACTTCCTGGACTTTGAACGGCGAGACTACAAAAGGAGGAGGAGGGAAATAATTGATTCTACCGACGCTCACACTGTTCGTGAAAGCCCATCCCCTGGTCAGTACTTGCAGCATCAACGCAGAGAGGTGGAAGAGGGTGCTTGTGGGAGACTATATGCATGCTAGGTGCTGAGGCATTCCATGGGGCAATACCAGGGTTAGCACGAAGCAGCCTGGTCTTATCCCGTATACCGACTCAAGATCGTGGCATGGGCACCTTATGACGGCGCTTTAGGAAGCCTCGAAGGTGGTGGGGACGACTCCGCTTGCTTTCGTTGACGGAGTACGCGATAAGCTGTTGGAGTTATTGATTCTGTATGGCACCAATGATCAACCTATAAAAGATCGACGACGCCAGCAATCAGCCATGGCTGTGGAGGACGGTTAAGATTCCAGCCATTGCAACAGGACAATCGAGGAAGCTAAGCCTCAGAGCAAGACTGGGACGCGTCAGAGTGGAGCCCGCTCTAGCCAACGAACACCGTCGCCACTAAGACGATCGCAAGACGCATCGGATTGGCAGCAGGCTCATAGCATAAACCTCGAACGCGAGCGATCTCCAGTAGGAGGGTGTTAAGACGTTAATACGCCTCCAAACGATATACAAGATCGAAGGAAACGATCAATGTCGGAAGCCCAATGGAAATGGAAACCAGGAGCGACAAGCGAGATGGCCGTGGAGTTCTATGACTCTCCAATTATCATGTGCCCCAGAAAGAGATGGTGATAACCGTCCAGGTAGAACATGCTAGCGACAAGACTCGACAGGAATCGCTGCTGCCGTATCCCAAGTCATCTGAAAAGAACGACCCAGCCGACCATTCTCCGACATCGAAACTATAGGAAATGAAGACAACCGTTCACAAGCAGCAACCTCTCTACTTTCCGGCCAAATGTTTCAAATTCGAAAGGGAATACAATCACTGCATCAGTGTGATTAAGCTAATCGACGAGAAGCAGCTTAGATAGTACCAATCTTCGATATTGCAGAACGTATCAACTGGGACAGAATACGTGCAGCGCAAAGGTTGAGGCAAAGCTGGCGCGAGGATATTGTATGCCTCCTTCGACGGGCATTCGACCTTCAAAAACGAAGCTCTTTTGACGACGAGAAGCGTGCCGCCATCTCCTCGAGTAGGAGTTATACAGCATTTCATTTGCAACACAGTATGGATTGATGGCTCTCAGACGAGAGAACTACAATGCACCGAGGTTCTCCTAGCTCCTGAGGGTTTTTTTGATGTTTCAGCGCACTATGCGACCATTATTCGTTGCTCGTTTATACAAACATGCGACTACAAGCGCATCACCTTGAAACGGAAACCTGCGACTGGCCAGAACCACTTGTTGCATACTTTGCGGTGGTCCCGCTGCAATGCTCTGACCTGTGCTAGGATTGTTCTGACCAGATTTGATCTATTCCATTTGCAGTGCTTTACCCTTCGTGGGTCAAGCTTCCCCTTGAAGCGCAGCCAAGCTCTAATTTTGAATTCATCCGCCCCACGAGCGAGGGTAGTCATTGTTGATGGAACGTTTATTCGCGCGAAACATTCCAGTGCGAACACCAGCGACCCATATGCTTGCGCCACAATGAAGGGAAGGCTGTATTTGCGTTATTAAATGCATTGATTTCTACACTGTCTCTCTCTCCTCTTTTTTCTACCACCTGTCCTCTGGAGTCAGGAATCTGGAGAAGGAAGCCTACTTGGGAAGGAAACAGAATTGTAATCCCGCCCTCCTCAACGCTCTTCTCCAGAGCAGTGCCTGACCCGGTTTTGCCATTCAATCATGTATTCAACTTACAGTCACATCCTGCTGCCCATACTCCTCTCACTAACCTCCCGTATCGTCCTCGCCCAAGAAATTGCCAAACCAAATTATGACCAAGGGTGGTGCTACTATTGTTCCGACGACGACGCCCCACCTCTCTGCAACGCCCAATGCACTGTCGCAATCAACAGTCTCTGTGGGCAAGATCTTACGCAATCACAAGTCGTCACCGAGCAAAACTGCACCCTTCAATACAAACCCCCCGTGAACCCTGACTTGAATCGAAACGGCGCAATACCTCCCAGCCCGACCGCGTACCAATGTAACATTACATTCAACAATATCCTCGCCTCCTGCGGCCGTGACGCCGGATCTCCAAACTCGGCCACCGTAAACGAATCATACTGTACCACCTCCGGCGGCGGCGGCACTTACGGCTGGAACGACGACGGGTCCGTCATGACTGACGGACTAGGTCGCTACATCGTCTCGACCACCGGCACTGACCAGTGCGGCCAAGCCGAAGCCTCTTGGCAACAAGCGACGTCCGTCATCTTGTGGAACGATAGCTGGATCGGCCCCAACGACCAAGTCGTCCTCGATACCAACCCGCCTCCACTTACCGGCACCGCCGCTGCTCTAGCCACTACCCTGCCAACACCAAACCCCGAATGCGACACCGAAGTCTGCGACATCTACGACAATCCCTACTACGCCACCTCCCCCGTCGGACCCTGGCCCGAAGGTGGCAAGAACTCCCTCCGCCACCGCATCATCTATGAAGGCTGGTCGGAAGCTCCTAATTCTCAGCGCCTGCCCAATAGTATCGAAGACCGCTGCGGCGTGGCCGGCGGCAACTACGCGGCATATATGAACGGCACGCAGAACGTGGCCGATTTTGACCTCCCAGCGGACCTATGTTGGTGCGTTCCGGATGCCATTTTCGATGCGAGTGTTGGGATTCAATTGCCCGATGATACGTTTTGTCCCGCGGGCACGACGTTGCAACCTGGGCAGGAGGTCAATAGAATTGAGTTGAGGCGTTTGATGGAGAGAGGATTGAAGATTAGGGATCCGACGAGGGTGGTGGAGAGGGACTTGACGAAGGAAGTGAAGCATCTGAATGGGAGGCATTGGTAAGAGGGTCACTGGATGGGATTGAGAAGGGGGTAGGGCAAACGAGATAAGTGTAAAGAGGGATGGTGAATAAACTGTCTGATGGGAAGTGAGTCTAGGGATGAACGCCGAAAGTATTGTCAACAGTCGTGATCTTTCTACCTACTCGGGTACTGAGAACGTTTTCGAAGTCTTCAGATTTACGTAGTATAAATCTTTTGACGTGGTACCCCAGTATCCTGTGCCAACATTTTCTTAAGAATACCAAACTCGAGTCCCTGAATGGACACGCTTCTAGATGAAGTTGCACGAGGGAACGATATAAATCGTAACTTCAGCACCTAGATTTATATCGAGGCTAAGGATTACCCGCAGTCCACAGCCTTTGGCTTAAGCGCAAGCTCGCACGATGGAATAGTCATAGCCGGTTATCGCATCTGATCTAGAACAGAGAAGCAGCACGGTGGACAGGTACCGACTTCCTTCTTCCCGGCGCTCTCGCTCCGGACTGGAAAAAGCCCCATCACACCGACACCCACTCTTGGGTACGCTTTCAACTTTCATCCTCTCTTCTCACCCACATCCACCATGCGCTCCCTTTGTCTTCTCCAAACAGCGATCCTCCACATCTCTGCCACCATCACCTCCATCTCCGCCGCCACCATCCCCCACCCCACTCCCCACCTCGCCCCCCTCAACAACGCCACCGCACCTCCCACCCTCGCCGTCTGGCCAACCCTCCCCTGGTGGACCAAACTCCGCAACCGCAACCTCGACCCGCCCGACATCGTCTCCGTCGCCGACCACGCCGCGACCCCGCAGCAGACGTACATCCTGCAGGAACTCGTCCTCCTGCCGCTCGCGCGGCGGATCCACGGGGGCGCGGGGCCGGCGAATGGCTCGGAGGCGATCAGTGAGGGCGGTGTGGGGGCGGTGTTCGTGCCGGTGCGGGGGAGGGCGCCGGGGAGGGAGGTGGCGGCGACGGCGGTGGCGGCGCTCGCGATGGCGGAGTGGTCGTTTGGGGCTAGGGGTTTGAGGGCGGGGGTGAGGGTTGGGGAGGTGAGGGTTGCGGGGTTGGAGGTTTGGGTTGGTGGGGAGGTGGGGAGGGGGGTGTAGGTGCGAGGTTGTCGGGTGGTTTGATGGGGGTTGTCTCTTGGTGGAAGACTTTGAGGGTGAGTAATCTCTGCGGTCTACAAGTGGGTAGGGATTTGTTCGAATTGCGAAGCGCCCTGCCCAATGGCATAGAGAGTAAGTCTCTGCTTGCTTGGTTAAATGAAGAGGGTGACCGTTGTTCAGGTGGTGGTGCGAGTTTTGTCAAAGGCAACACTAATGAGATGATCAGAAGTCAGCCTAGCAGGTTCGTTTCCTTTGCAATCAAAAGATAGCAAGAAACGCTAAATCCTACATTCTGGTACGGACTTTCGTGCGATCCCAACGTTTCGGTCGCCATATTTTGCTCGCAGGAAGAGAACACTTGCAGGATATCTCAGCTTGTTGATCTAGGAATGAAGTTGAGTCTAGGCTTTAGTTCATTAAACAGTCTACTATTTCGGTATTAGATTACATGGAGATGCATGATCACTGTGGCCAAATAACTGGAAATGTGAGTCTTCAAGTTTCTGCTTCTAGGGTATATCTCTTTAATAAGTCTCCCAAAATCCCCCCCAAAAACAACTCCAGGGACTGCGGACTGCTATGGAATCGTCGCGCGCTACCCTGAATGACTCTCGCAATTCCTGTCCTGAAATCTCACGCTTCCTCATCGGGGAGCCATCCACCTCTCTCATATATAGTTTGATTTCACCCCTGTGCCTTATGGAATGGCAGTGGTCACCGGAGGATACTGCTCTGCCGTGCACTGCACGAAGGATTCTCCCTGCTGCTCCCCAGCCATCACATGGTGAATCTGGACCCGCCATCCACCTCTCTCGTATATAAGTTTTAGCTCATCCTGTGCGTCATGGACTCGCAGGGGTCAGCGGAGAATACTGGACGAAGCTTTCTCCCTGCTACCATGGTGAATCTGGACCCGCCATCCACCTCTCTCGTATATATTTTTTGGTTCTTCCTGTGCGTCATGGACTAGCAGGGGTCAGTGGAGAATACTGCACGAAGCTTTCTCCCTGCTGCTCCCCAGCCATCACATGGCGGATCTGGACCCGCACACCCATCTTCAACTGGCCCACCCCCTCGCAGCCCGCCGTCGAACAGCGGAAAAGGGGTTCGTCAGTCTTCCCGGTCCACAACGCGACCACCGCCGTTCCCCGCTGCGGGTCGAGCTCCACCACATGGCCCCAGTAGACCCGGTCGCCCTCCGCCGTGGCGTTCTCCGCGGGGTACCGTGACAGGTCCGCCGCGGTACCGATCGGGATTGGCGTGTTGGGCGGGGCCGATGTGCCCGCTGCGGCAGAGACGGTGTTTATGGTCAGGGCGTTCCCTGCCCCGGAGGTGTTATTTGCGGTTGGGGCGCTATTGGCCCCGGGTGTGCGGCTCTCGCTGGAGATATATATTAGCATCGCTCATTGCATATATAAGAGCGTGCTGGGGAAAGAGAGGATGGCAAAGGGGGATGGCACAGGGTTATATGTCGAGTCGAACGGAAGACTGCAGGAGCAAACATGCGTGTCGTTGGGGACAACTCGGCAGAGCGTTGTCGTCTCGGACACGGCTTGTTTGCTCTGCCACGTATGTCGGAAGATGGCTGACGTGTTTAGGGATGTCATCACTCACCCGGCAGTGTTTGCGTGGTTTGTTTGCAGAACGTGTTGAGACATGATTTGTTGGAAGTCTGATTGTTTGGAGGTGCAACGATGAGTAGAAAATATTTTTTGTTTGTTGATGAAGGATTTGCTCGAAGGTGGAATGCACTGGTGAGTATGAAGATTGTTTGTTAGCTGATGGAGTGGTGAGCTGGAAGGGTGAAGATCTGTTGGTGATAGGTGGGCAAACTCCTGGTTATATAACAAATCAGGGCGGTCCTTCCACATCAGCCTATCCTTTCGACTTGGTACTTCGGTCGCGAACCTGTTCGTTTTCGCTACCAATTGGCATCTCCGCAAGCGAGGAACTGATCCAAACATGGAGAATCTTCCCCACGAACGGCGACTCCGGGGCCCCAGGTTTCGGCCGCAAGCCTACCGTTCACTAGAGAGCGGCTTTCTTCTAAGCTGGGAAATGGTTGAAAAGCGGGCAGTTTCCCCGAACGAATATGGTTTGCTGCAGCACTAATGCAGTACCCCACGCTGAGAACTGGTCAAAAGATGGGGATCGAGCTCACATTGTTGCATACTGATAAGCATGAGAATCCTACCAGTGATGTCGAGTACGGGAAGCGAGCCCACATCGTTGCATACTGATAAGAACAAGAATCCTACAAGCGATGCCGAATACGGGAAGCGAGCCCTCATCGTTGCATGTTGATAGAAATGAGAATCCTACAAGTGATGCCGAGTACGGGGATAGAGTCCAATTCGTTGCATACTGATAGAAATGAAAAACCTACCAGTGATGCCGAGTACGAGAAGCGAGCCCACATTGCTGCATACTGATAAGAACAAGAATCCTACAACTGTTGCCGAGTCAGGGAAACGAGCCCTTATTGTTGCATACTGATAAGGTCAAGAATCCTACAGCTGATGCCGAGTACGAGCATTATCCCCATTCTCCTACTTTCTCACAGCTCCAAACAAAAGGCATTTGGCAGGCACGTGGGACTTCATGATGATCATCTACCGTTTCATAACCTCGGCACATCTAAGAATGGGCAGCTAGTTTCACCTCTAAGCTCGTTACATCGTGCAGCTCATCCATCCAAATACCCCGGCAACTCCTTCCAATCCCCCGAGTGCTTCGGATTCTCCCACTGCCGTCGGCCTGCAATCTCGGCCCCGTATTCTCCCCACATCTGCAGATTCATCTCCAGGTCGATCCAATCCGTGTCTGCGAACATCTCCTTGATCACCGTGCGCAAAGCGTTCTGTCCTCGTGGGGTGGCCGTTCCGTCTAGGACGATGTATTTGACGTCGTTGACTGCGTGTTTGAGGGATGGCGGCGATCCTTTTGGTGGGGTTGGCTCGTCGGACCGCGTCATGAGAAGGATGAACTTTTGGAGAGCTTCTCGGATGGGCTCTAGGTCAACGTGAGGGTCTTGGTAGACTGGAGGTTCTGTGTAGATTTCGGAGGAGGAGTCGATATTGTCTTGGGGAGAGTGGGTGCTGGTGGAGGGTTCGGGGGTAGGGTCCATGTCGAAGTGTTCATCGCTAAGACGGCTGTGGTGGAGAGTGGCATCGTCAAAAGGGTTCTCGTCGAGGGGTCCGTCGCTAGTAGGCGTTCCACTATAGAGACTGTCGCTAGGGGAGCCTTGATTGAGAGTATCTTGGTCGGGATCGAAAGCGCTGTCCGTAGCTGACGCTTTCAGAATCATGTCTTCTCCGAGATGACGCAGATAGACTTGTCCTTTCACTACACAGCCGGCTTCACACATCTGGACAAGCATCAAATGGAGATAAGACTTGTGATAGTGAATCAGGATCGTAATGTATGTGCCAGCTGTGTTCTTCTGCATCTCATGAGCCAATTGCACCGCTCGCGGTAGTTTGAGGATCATGTCTGAGCCATCCAGGGGTTCGCCAGCGAGTCTCGCCGCCTTGGCTACGACTGTGCGAGCGGAGTCATCCCAGTGATCAGGAAGGGTGATTGCCATCACTTTGAAGTTGAGAGCCGGGTTCTTGTCCAAAGACCACACTCCCATCAACCTAGCGTCCTCGATATGACTTGCGAAGGCTTCCACAAGCTCCGAAGCTTGCTCCTCGGTTGACACCAAAGGTGCATTGGAAGGGGGAAATTCCTCGAATTCGAGGTGGTCTTGCACCTTCTTGCTCAAAGCTTCTTGGTAGAAGTCCTTGTACACCTGACCGCAATCAAAGCCGGTGAAGTACAGCCCTTGGTCTCCGTTGATGTCGACGGAGAAAGAAACGGAAACCCAGGAAGGGCCAAAGTCGAGGCCGACAGGGACCACAGTGGCATTCTTGTCAAGGTTCTTGGGGAAGTGCTGTGAGTCCTCATGTTTGAACGACTCTACCATTTGAGTGAAGGACATTGTGAATGGGTATTGAAAGGGCGGTGGGTGAGACAGCGGAGAGTCTAGTGCTTCGGAAGTGGTTTCGAAGGATTCTCCAAGGCAGTATAAGCTTCTGGATGTTGGTGGAGACATGTCGAGGATTTTTGAGTGATAGAGTGATAGAAAGATGATCCTCAGTGCAGAGGTGGGACTTTGAGATGGGAGAGTTGTATATACCCCTTGGAGCAACTGACTGCCTGGGAAAGAGGGGTAGTGAGGCGCCCAGTGCTTCCAAAGGCGAGGTCTGGGCAACGCTTCATGTTTCGTCCAGAGACCCAGCACTGCCCCAAGACCACTACATCCGACAAATGCACGGATAGGGCAGCACCATAAGACGGTACAGCGTCGCCTCGATCCTTCGAATTGAGAACACATACTCGGAAGGGAGGAGTGCGATTGGATGTGAAGTCAGGATGCTTACCCGCAGCCTTGGATAGAGGTACGGACTGGGGAGCGCCGTTGGGAGTGCTTAACACAATGTTAAACACGCTAAAACGTGAGGAGCTGCTTAACACATTACTGAACACGCTAATGCAGGAGCGCGGTCGAAAGCCAAGGAAAGGGTCTTACCTTTTACTGTGTATATACTTGCTCAAGAATGCCTTTGATGGTGATCGTCTTCGCACGGATCCCAGGTTCCAACACAACAATTCTTGGACATCCGTCCTTTTGAAGCGTTCTTGAAAGATGTTTTACTTTTAGAAGCATGACAAACAATCATACGGCCGAGCTTTCAGGCGGCAGGTCAACAGGGAAGAAAATCTCGGGTACGTGCATGAGATGCAAAACAAAAATCCTCCGAGGCTGTCGATCATGCTGCAAGTAAGCAGCCACTCGGGTCTCGGTTAGGTGTTTGATCTGCAAGTCATAGCCCGCGCGCGTTTCGGAGAGTGGGCAGACAGCGAGGGGATGTTTTGGGTGGCAAAGGGGTTGGAGAAGTTGGGCGCTCTTGTTAGGATTTCGGGGCTCGCCGTTGCGAATAGCTGCAGTTAGGACGGTCGTTAGACCTTCTTTGGTTGATCGCTTCAGGATCAACATGCGGAGACTGGTCTACCAATGAGATGCTCTTGCGTTTGGATGTTGCATCTCTACGGCGTGATTGCAGGATTGTAACTTTTTGGAAGCTACAGCGCGAGATTTTCATCCATTTTCACATCGCTAATGCCCACTACCAAGCGCTTTGGCCTTCTTTTACTTTCCACACCGACCTTCCTAATCAAGATCAAAAGCTCATCTCCCTCCTCCCCACTCAGTAAAATTCCCATCGTCCACTGGACCCCGAGCTAAGCCCACGATCCCTCCTCCTCCTCCTCCTCCTCCTCCTCGTCCTCCTCTTCTGTCGTCATGCAGCCGCCAGCCCACTCGAATCATTCCTCTTGAAAATTGGATGAAACTTTCCCCGTAATCGGATGTCTCCCAGGATGGTCGGATTTTTGCCTTTGGACTTCTTGCCTTGTTGTTTTCAGACACCGGAACTTTTGACTGTGGGTAGTTTGGAGATCCTTGCTTTGGTAGCTTTTTTGGTGGGCTGGGTGGTCTTCTTTCTGCTGGGGTTTGAGCTGGAAGCGGGATTGGCGTCATAGTCACGATTACGTGTCTCGACCATGGTTGGAGACGGCAGATTGTGTGTAGGTATCCTACGCGGTTTTCGTTGGGCGTGGGAAGGCTTGAGTCTGTGTTTTCTGCGAATGAATGTGTGAGAAGCAAAGGGGACTCTGATTGATTCGAGATTAGAGAAAATGGCAGCTCCAGCAAACTTCTTGGACGAAGAATCATCATGGAACTTAGTGTCTTGTCATTGGGGAAATTTATTTGCAGCACCGCAAGATTCGGAGAATGCAAGTTCATGAGCCTTTGGTCTCATGTCCGCATACTTCGTACTTTAAGAGTATTCGTCGAGTAGGAGCTTTGCGCTCGAGATACGAGTAGTAATGATTGGCCCTTTTTTCGGTCTATGCGCATAAATCCGGGGATTCCTCCAGTGGAATTCACTTTGGCTTCTCTGACGTAATGGGCGATATGGGGAGTGGTGAAGATGTCTCGAAGTAGTGAGATGACCGCTGTGCTATCGTTGAATTCGTTGCCAAAGCTGTGGTACTTCCGAATCAGCGCTCTGTGGGTCTGTGAATGCGGCTTTGCTACTGCTTGAACTCTTTTTCGATATTTGCGCAAAATTCTCCAAGTCTTCTGGCATGATGAGCAGTAGGATATCATACAGTAGTTCGTTGGGTAAGTCGGAGAATGCTGCCAAAGCTTTCAACGGTGATGATAGTCTCTGGATAATATTTTAGAAGGTTAGTGATGGGAAGGAAACCCGGATCTTCTGATGGTGAAGGTGAAAAGAAATCCACTTGGGCGGTATCGGATCTTATAAGGTGCCTAGTCTTTGTCTTGGCGTGCCTGAAGGGCGATATCTACCATGAAGCCGGTTGCTTAGGCTTAATGCTTGACGCTGCGCATTACTGGTGGATATTGCCATCCAGAATAAAACTATTCTCCATGAATAGTAGAATTACTCGTGGTGTTGTAAAACATATCAATAATCTCATAGAACATATTGTCATCAAGAGTGTATTTTTCATGAACGAAACACTTCGTTCGTGTGTTCGCGGCGATGCTGTATCACCAGTATTCGGTTCGATTCCTAATGGCGCTGGCACAATGGTGGAGAATGTTTTTAGTTTGTCTTCGCGGAGGGAACAAAGCAATTGCTACCACTTCTACCACCCACTTCTGTTACCTTTTCGACCTCTTCCTATCTTCTTTGCTATCTCCCTTGCTATCTCCCCTTATCACTGCAGTAGGAAACTATCTGCGCTGGGCAACGGAGTGGGGAAACTTAGGTAGAAGGTAGAAACCTCACCTCAACCCCGACCATTGGCAGTCTTCAGCGTCTACCGTCTCACAGTAGGGGACCAGTCCATGCACATCCCACTGCCATTTACACTCGCAGAGTATTGTATTTTCATGGATGACAATCCCCGAGTCTTTGAACTTGAGAACCCTGATCTCTATTATCAATATGTCCATCAAAGAACGCGACATCCCGTCTTTCCTCGCCACAGTCTTGTTGGATTTCCAAACGGTCTCTGCAGAGGCCCGGAAATCTTGCCAGACAGGGTGCCGCGCGATTTTGTCTCGGTATGTGGATGCACTACGGAACTTTGTGCCATTGGACCAGAGACGAAGAAGAGATCCCGGCCAGGGTTGCCGAAAGCTGGCCTTGCGTAGTCGGAAGCAACAGAGCCAAGTGAGTATGAGGTTCCGTAAGTACCTCGAATTAACGAAGTGTGCTCATGTAGGATGGTTGCTCTGGAGGAACGAGGATGGTCAGGGTCGGCAGGTTTTGTTTTCGTACGGTACAATCAGGCGTCTCTGCTCCACGAAGCAGAGAATTCCATCTCTTTGAAGGTCGAAAATGCGAACGTTTGTGACTTTCGACAGCGTCGTATTAAGTCGCATAGCGTCTCCGAGTCGACCATGATATCGCGAAGCTCATGTTTGGTGACTTCGGAGACTGGAACGGACCTGTTTGGTCCTTGAAGGGAGCTCTGGGATGGGAATCAGAAGCCGATAGCTCTTTGATGGATAGTAGTGTAGCGACACGCGAGAGATGTTGTCTGACGATAGCTTCAAGGCTGTTAGAAGACCGCAGTTGAATCTTTGTGAGCTTTTGATGGGCATAGACAGCGGAATGAAAAATGCAATTGGCTTATTGATGCGGAGGAGGGTTGCCTGGCCTGTACATTGGTTCCTGGATGAGTTTGCCGGCTGTGCTCGACTCAGTCGCTCCAAACTTAGATGAACGCTTTCAGGAAATTTATTTCTACATGTTTCTCCGGCTAAGAAGGCTATGCTTCGAAACTAGAACACTAGTCGTTACCGATATCGATCCGCATCAATCATGTCAATACACACAATCTCATCCCCGGAAATTCCCTTCTTCCGTCTCGTTCAATTAGTATGGCAAATCATCATAAGTCTGTCCACAGGGCCCCGCGAAATCCCCCGTACTCCGAAACGCAGGGTTCGTGTCGTTGGAATACGTCAACCCTTCGACCGTTCCTTGCGGACACACGGTACTGATACCGTCGCCGCTCCCAGTGACAGTGGTGGCCTAGGAGGTCATAATGTCAGCGTGAAGTTCCTGGATGAGAAAGGATTTGAGAATTAGAAATTTCCTCGGCCCATCCGTGCCCTCAAACAAAAACTCGCGTCTGCAACTGCCGTGGTAGAAAGGCGGACGTACCTGGTCAACGACACATCCTTCGTAGAAGTACCAGTAGGCTTGGATGCAGTATGGGATCTCGAAATAGCAGGTGTTGCAGCAGGCTTCCGCGGAGGCGCCTTGCGGCGTGTCTATACCATAGAGGTTGTTTCCTTCTGTGTTGGATTCGCCGACACCGTTGGAGAGGCCATATGGGAGCTGTGGCGTCAATGTTGGAAGTGGAGTGGCGCAGGCTGCGGGAGGTGCGTATTAGCTTTGGGAGCGCAGTGGAAAGGAGAGAATGTCGGCGATGGAACGGGCACTGAGAAGATTTGCTGGCTTACGATAGTAGGTTTTGGAGACCACGGCGGGGGTCGTCTAAGGTTTGTGAGCGTCGAGTCTTCAAATTCTGGGCAGCACGTTTCTTGCGAGCGCTTAGTAAAGGAGGTCACTTACGGTGATAGTCGCGGTGGTCACAGTTACGACCGTAGAAGATGAAACTTTGGTCACGGTGGATGTAGGAGTTGGAATGCTTAGGCAGTCGCAAGCACTGGAGATGGCGGAGGAGGCAACGGATGTCAGCCAGGTCGGGATCGGTGGCTTGGCGTTGCGTTGGATGATTTCTGGTACTGCGTCTGCGTTGACTTCGACTGGTCCACGGCGAACTCTGGCTGGTGCCGTAGTTGCTGGAGGGTTCCCGGGCTCGAAGATGACCGAAGTCCTACCATTGATTAGTATTGAGAGCTGGATGGTGAGATGGCGTCTCAGGCACTCACGAAGCTGTCCCGCTAGTTACAGTGGTCGTAGTGGTAGAAGTGCTGGTGAAGTGTCAGGCATCTGGGAAGCTAGTCTTTGGGCGTGCATGGGTATTCACCTGGTGGTCTTCACAACCGAGACGGTTGTCTTAGTAGTGGGTTGTATGCCAAGGAAAGATGAGCAGAATGGTGTCGCGCTATGCAGCTTGAGCACATCAATGACCAAGACGACTTCGGAGCATTGTTGTGGTGTGAGGTTTCGCGCTTCAATACCGTTATTAGGAGAAGCGAGAACTGCTTTGGCGGCGAACCCAAGTGCCCCTACAATAGAGAGAGAGGCGCGCATGACTAAAGAAACCGGTTGAAACACTAGGAACCTACTGGTGCACTATACAAACAATGAAGCGCAAAGCAGATGAATGGCTGGGCGGATTTCTCGGCCATGAGGAAGGGGAGTCGGGCTTTATAGACATTGTCAGGGACGAAGGGCAGGAATTAAGCCTGGGGACGAACACAGGGTCTCGAACTTTCACAGAAGAGTTAGTTAGTAAGTAAGATTTAGGAAGTGAGAAACCATAATTGATTGGCAGTGGACCCATATCGTATTGCTTTCGGCCCTATCCGGCGCTGATGTTTGAAAGGACTCAAGATCTTGTGGCTGGCACATGGCAAAGGCTGATTAGTGAGAGTCCCGACTGTTGTTTGTGGCAGCAGCATTGTGTTTATCTGGGGATAGCAGGCGAGCTGGGGATGTTCGTGTCTATGTTCCTCATTTCGGACCAGCAGGCGTTTTGCGCGCGGGGCTGGTCAGTGGTAGGGATGACAAAGTTCCGGAAAGCAGCCGCTACAACCCGTGTTCGCAGGGGAAGCACAGAAAGCGGTAAGTTAACAACTGAACGGTCGTCAAGAATAGCCGAGGAGGTAGAGGAGTTCAATAGTCTTGCATTAGTCTATTGGATCTCGGGCGTGGTCTAAACTTAGCCCCTTGCTGTTGATCCTTTGCGGGGTGCATCGTATAGCGTCCCTTCAACGTCTTTATATCTCTCGCGGAGCAGATCCATATACACGGCTCCTGGTTGAGGTAGCCGAGCAAAGTCCAACAGAGCGATTCGAGTTCCCCAACATTGAAACTATGGTACGATTTCCTCTGGTAACGCTATCCCTGTCGAGTGTCACCAGCCAGCGCGATCTTTCCAGTCGAGGGCCAGACCATTGAATTTCCTCACAATATCTCAGCTTGATCTCATTGTCCGAGCGTCTTCATACCAATGCCTCACATGGTTCGTCCAAGGTTTCATGAATGTGATAGCGGCTGGCAGCGTACCTCCCAAGGATCGTTGAAAAAGCACAACCAATGAGAGATGGCTTCTCATGTGTCTGGTTTGGTGCCAGAGCGATTGAACTCCAGAGTAAAGAGCTCAGCCGCACGCATGGCTCCAGCTGCAACGAAGGGGAGGTTGTACTGATCGATCTGGCTTTGGAATTGAGCTATGGAACAAGCTCCGCCTTCGTTCAACCTCGTGTGCATAATGAGCTTGCGTAGTGAAGACGTTTCTGCTGTCCTTGCCTATACGTGGCGGTAAGGCGAATCACTTGTGTTGAGAAGTACCTCGTCTGCAGCTGTTGTGATGGGTATCTTGTACCTGCGAACTCAATTAAAACAGTCCTTGAAGAGTCTACAGGGTTCCTAGACGAGGGAACTAAAGAGCATGTTGTACTAGTATTGAATGAATTCTGTGTGGAAGCTGGAAGAGGGCGAAGAGTCACGGAGTCACGGGATCACGTGACTGCTGAGTCGCCCATACTATATAGCTACATTGGTGCTGGGAATGAATTTCTTCGCATTTTCCGTGGCGACTACCAGACATATTGCTACGCTTCGTCTAAGCTATGAATAGTTACGATAGTTATCATACCTGTACAAACCTGCTATCTCGTCCACGTCGAAGTCCAAGGTGGCCATCTCACATCAATCCCTCATAAAGCGGTTGAAGATTTCCTGAACGTGAAAAGGCCGACAGCGATTCTCCCTCAAGGTGGATTGATGAACTGATGTGCATCAAGTTTTTGAGCCCGCTGTGCATGCTTCCCTAACTCCTCATGCTTGTATATATCTCTCATTTTCTGCACATGTACAGCAACCTTCGCCACAGACTCGGCGTAATAAGCTTTCAGAACTCGTTGGCGACACACCCCCAAAATTGACATTCTTTGCGAAGCAGTGAGCGACACAAGGCCAAAATGGCGGACTCTCTCCGGTCGTGAGCCAAGTATAAAGGACCCAACGTGCTATACCGCCTCTACCAGCCAGCGCCAGTTCGGGGGAATGTACTGCATCCAGAAGATCGGTCTGCAATACCTTCTTTGGCGAGGATGTCCATGGCGAGAAGGTGTTGCAGGAGAAAGAGGTCACCACCTTCGTTCTGTGCGAAAATGGCGAAGTACGATCATTTATTGAAGCGGGCGAAGATTCCTAGATCTTGGTCTGCGAAATTGATTGTGCTGTCGACTGGTTAGGTTCGGTTTTCGAGGGGTAATGGCAGATGTAGCATTCAACGAGACCGGATACCTGATTCTAGCGGCCAGCAACAATGCGCATGATAGGATCGAAGACAAAACTTCAGACGAAGCGGTTGTGTGCGCCCATCGTGTGGATATCCGTTTCTCGTGGAAAAAAGACCTGCTTAACTCGAAACAAGAGGGATGTGAACGTTCGGACCTGGAGATTGTTCGCAGCGATTGTTGAAGCTGGCGTTGAGGAGCCAACAACGGCATGCCCAGAAGTTGCAGAGACGGTCAAGGCTATCCGCTGTTCTGCGGCTGCTGAGGTCCATTGTTCCCGGTCGTCACTTTATTCCAATACGGGTATCGACTCAAGATTTTGCTAGCATTCTTCCCGTCGTCAACCAAAAGCGCACCACTGCACACCTGTTCCTTTGTCGAGACCTCCGTCCCTCAAACCACTACTATCTTCTTTTGACTTCAATTTTCTCAAGATCCAGGCTCTCCTTCAGATAAATCCACCCGGCGGCCCAGCACTCATACTCCACGCCGGTGCAGTCTTCCCTATCCCAGTACAGCTGATGTTATTGGCCCTCCTCTTCGCCCTCTCCACCACGACCAGAGCGCTACATATCACTTCTTCCCTCCCACCTTCTGCCAATGCATCAACGATGTGAAGGTCTCCCAGCTCTTCTCTTGCCTCCTTCTTCCTTCCGGTACTGCCTCTCTTACCAGAACCTGTCATCTGCGACACGGGAACCGTATGCACGAACCTCGCCACGATCTCATCCATCTCGTTTGTGAGTTCCAACACTCCTTTGTTGCCCGGATTCGGCGTCCACCAATGTTCATGTCCCCAGATCGTCGTTCTCAGCCTTTGCGACAGGGAATCCTCGAGCTCCAGCCTCTGGATCATTTGTATGTTCGGCAAGTGTGAATACGATATCGTCGTCCCGGTCCCATGTATGTCAAATCTTCCCTCCGCCAGTGGCCGATTGAGACTTTCGTCACATTCGCCAGTGGTAATGATGACGTGTGGCTTGCGGTTCATGAAGCCGCCGGTCTTGTTGGTACGGATTTTGCAGACGGGGAGGGTAGAGGTGTAGGCGGTGGCTGACTCAGAAGGGTGGTCACGGAGAGTGAGGACAAGGGTGTCAGGTGCTGTTTGGTGCAGAGTGTAGATGCTGATGTGGTGGTTGGTGTTTGCCGGGTGGTAGATGGGAAGGATGTCCGTGAGGGCTTGAGGGGTATAAGGTGGGAGCTCGTCGGACATCTTTACTGCCGTTGGAGGGAAATGGTCATCTGAGTCTAATAAGTATATATAGGAATGCACTCTTGGCTTGGTGATCGACATGGGAATGGCTTGCGATGCTGGGGAGAAAGAGATAGGTACTGAATGAGGACTTGCCTGTGATGGGATACGTGATGCTTCATATACTGCTTCCTCGCGCAGGACTCTGGCAAAGGCAAGTTACCATCCTGGACAATCAGCGCAACATCCGACTTCGGGTTGACATTCCATCACCGAGTGCGTGTGTGGAATTGGCGCAGATAGTGCCACCAGGGCAGGTCGCGGAGTGGAGAGGTCATGATCGAGCGAGCAAGGAAGGTTGGCCGAGCGGCTGGCCGAGACAGGGAACTTTCCTCTTCAGGAGAATCCAAAGTCTGCGCCGGAAGCCGGCCCCCCCTGTTATTTGCTCGGTTTCTTTTGGGGAAGCGCTGATAAGGAAATCTTTCATGCCAATATCCAGACCTTTGAAGAGTACGCAGTGCTGATAAGTGCATGATCCGATGATCCACGAAGCTGCATACTTCCAGTAAAGTATAAGCCCGCGGCATCCACTGCCACATGACAGCGTCGATCTTAGCATTCAATCTGGAAGTTGCCACCATAGCGTCATGTCTCCTGTAACTCGAATATACCCAAGCTCTGTTTTATCTAATTTCACTTAGCAGTCACATGCCATCTTCACGACTTCATTGCATTGAAGACCCTCGCCGAGCATTGTATTTTTCAAACGCGAAAGTTGCTCTTCTTGTCCTTCCGGCAATTCTTCAAGAGTGCGTTCCATTTGCTCTTAGTAATACCTTCGCACACTATTCATACAGTTCCCGGTCATACCAAAAAGCCTTGCTGGCGGCGTCTGCGTCTCGCCATGAAGAAAAAGGGTGATCAGGTCGGGACGCTACGCTATCAACGAATCTTAAAAGATAGTCCCTTCCCGGAAGGAGATGCACGAGTACATCTCAAACTGGAATCTATCTTTCCGTAGAAACAAAGCGCTTCTGCGGAGGTGGTAAAGACTGTGAGATGGAATAACATCTTTGTCCTTTATGGTTGTTGCCTGTTGCCTGTATTCTTCGACAGAGACATCGATGACAAGGTGGTTGTAGTAGTTCTATCCAACAAAGCTTACACCGTCGTCATGAATGGTAGTGCACTACTTGTGGCATAACAATTCAACCAAACAATTCAACCAGGCAGTCCACTTTTCCCACACATAGGGGGAGGACTTGACAACCTCGATTTCTCTCGGTAACAGCTCGGCCTTCCCCTATCTTGCCACAACTGGCGCCAGATACTGACACGCAGATACTCGAATCCATTTGTGGTGATGGTCGTTTGGAATGGTCTTTGCTAGGTTTGATACTGTGGATACGCATTAATGTGCTCTTGGCTCCACAGTGATGCCTCACTCGACCCTGTGTATTGAAAGTACGGATAATCAAGCATTTGTCACTGTTGTGACGCACCAACACTCGACTCGAACGATTCGATATGCGACGCCGTTACCTCAATGCTCATAGTACTTCGATAATTCACCGCTGGAGGCGGGGGTTGATTCGTATTTACAGTGCGTGCCACCAAGTGACCAGTCACATATTCGAACAGAACAGTCAGAAACGCATGACCTATGACGCTCGGCAGAGACAGTCTTGCATTCTGTTCACTGTGAGAAGACAAAGCGATCTCCGTATCGGAGCGATTGTACGATGGACAGACACGCGAACTCATTTTTGCATGTTACAAACACGCTATCCAATAAGTCATCCTGACAGCCATCGTATCTGAGCAGAGTCGCACGGTGTCTCTAGCGACTGCAGTGATGATATTGGGCGCTAGCTGTTTTCCGGAGGGGTAGGTCCTTGTGAATTGAAGGCGAATATGGGGATCATCGTCGCAATCGAGATGGCCGTGGGGTCTTCGAGGGGTCAGGAATGAGCGTTGAAGATGAGAGGTGCGATTTGCAGCTAGAGGACTTGCTAATGGGTTCGTATACATCATAAGCATAGTTGAAAGTAATATCGATGCGGACTCCAAGGAGCGACATCAGTTTTCAGCGACTCAATGGTGCCCGGAGTACGTGATTATGCTCTTTCTTTGAAGTCCGATGATCGGTCGCCCGCTGCGGTATGTGCATTAACTCTAATCCCCTTCTTCGATGACATGTCGAGGCAACGACTATATTTACGCGCGTGGGGAGCTGCGAGGTTGTTGACTCGCGTTGATGCTCTGTCCAGGGACTTGAGTGCCGAAGACTCAGACCCTGTGCTTCCCTATAGCCGATGAGGGGATAGCACTTGGGCGTTATCGTTCGCCGACTGAAAGCGGGCTTTGCGTCTCTCATCCAGGGGTCACATCAATGCATAGAGAAACCTTGCTAGAGCAATTGAATCTGAAGAGAGTAATGTACACGGCAAGTCTATCAAACAGAAAGTAAGTCTGTCTAAACGAAGGCTAGTTATTAGGGTAATCGCTAGGCATACCACAGATGACGCCGGTATTCTGCGTGGGGTTTCCCTTGAGGTAACAGTTCGTCGTGTTGGTATGAAGCCCGATCCCCACATACCCGTTCCCCACCGTACCCCACTTGCCATCGTTGATCTGAAAGTACGACGCATCGGCGTACAAGGGGAAGCTCAAAACGAAATCCTTCATAATGGTCAAAGCAGCCCCGTAGATGCCCCAGGTCAGTTTCTGGTGGTTACTATCCTGCGCAAAGACTTCCACCCATTGGACTCCAGAGTCTCCGCCGGTGACATTCCCGATGGGTACCAGCAATGTCAGCGATGTGCTGTGCGGGCTGTCGATGGAGCCGTCGCCCATTGGCGGGTTTATCCCTGTGGCGGCGCGGGATTTCATGGTGTTCTGCGTTGCGTTGTAGGCGCCGTCGAGGCCGCTCCAGAAGATGGGACCGTCGGTACCCTTGTTGTAGCCGTAGGAACCAATGGGGTCGATGAAGACATAGGTGGATGTACCTGCGCCGCACCAGACGTAGGGAAAATAACCCGACGGGTCTGTAGTCGCTAGCGGAGGCCCTTCGTCTTGACTAGGGACGACTATATCGGCGGCGGTGACGGGGCTATTGATAAGGCAAAAGTCCTGGGGTCAGCTACTATCTCCCCGGAAGAAAACACTCGAGATGTTTAGATGAATAGGATGTTTGGTAACTCACTTTCCGGCAATTATGTTCGGCGCATTGCCGCAAGGGATTTTGGCACCATTACCCCGTCTGCTCAATCCCTCTGCGTTAAGTCCAGGAGCGGCGAGTGGAGTTGCAAGAACAAACGCTGGAGAGAGACAGGTAGCGAAGGCAAGCAATGAGCGGCGATTTCCGAATGGTGACATCCTTCAGAGAGTGTTATGACCTGGAGATCTGCGACGGTTGACTTGACTTTTTGGGTTGCGAGTCGGCATGTGAGGTCCTTGGAATGTTTTTGTAGATGTTGCCTCGTGGCAGTGGTGCGCGGATATTGTTTCGCGTTCTCCACCGTGTTTCGGGAGACATGCGATAGGCGTGAGGGTGCGCGGTTATCGTTTCGTACACTCGCAGACGAGAGGATCAAACCTTGCAACTCGTGAAGAAGGTTATGAACCCCATTTTTAGTCCCGCCAGTCTGGTCACCAAACCTGGCACGCCTCACAATGTCTCCTGAAAGTCTGGATGATGTTTGGCTGACGCGGTAGATCTAAATTGTTGCCGCCAATTTCGCTATAGCCGCAATCTTGGGACGTAGCAAGCGTACTTCTATGCCGGTGGAAGAGATCTGGCCTCTAGAGCTGATCAATTATCGTCGGACCAACCCAATCTTCGATCAGTGCCTTCTGTGCTTGTTTCCTTGGCCAGCCACTACATTGCTCGGTACCTTGCATGAAATCAATCAGTACCTCCTGTTCAGGCCGGTGAGTAAACCAACTGCCACCTAGAGAGCAAAGATTAGCCAAGGGGAGTTGACCGAGAAAGATTGCGTAGCATTTTGGAGTGGAAACCCCAATACTTACACATGATGATGGCAAGACTGGCAGTGAATCTGGCTGGTACGAAGCTGTTACAGAGCGCGATACCGCACAGCATCCGCACGTATGAAAGAGCAGTTTCCTAGAATACTTGTTCGACATCGCAAGATCATTGAAATGATGGAAGGACTACTCACATTCATCTCTGCCAGAGCAGACTTCATCTGAGGTCCGATCCGTGGAATGTTTGGGTCGTGCGCTGTCAAGAGAAGCTTTGCTAGATAGAGGAAGTGGGCCGCAACGACTTTTCCATCGATGTCAGTGTAAACACTGATACTTGAGGGCCTTCTGACCAAGACGCACCATGCTCATCAGTGGCAAAAGTCGCCTCGGGGAACCAAAGATTGTGGCTTGGATCGCGCGGCTTGAAAAAGAGAGGGTCGAAGCTGCTGGGGCGTTTGTCCGACCACTCGTCTATTAGTTGACAAAGTTCCCGCCATTTGGCAGGAGTAGGATCGTCTCCGTAAGCCCACTGCAACGTCTGTGCGCAGATCCATAGTGCCCTATGAAGCCACAAATCATTATCAAGAGAAGTATCTAAGGATTCGAATGTGCAGTTTTCCAGATCTGCCTGGACCGTGCGTTGATGGCTACAGGCAACATAGATCTCATTACGTAGATGCAGCCAGAAGACTGCTCTGCGCAGTTGGGTTGAGAGGCGACCGCCGCATGCAGGAAGGAAGGCCGATGTTGCCATAATGTGGCGCACGGAATCAGCACCGACTGCAGCGGTCAAGGATCAGCAAAAACTCTCAAACGGGCATGGCAAATAAAGGGAGACGCCATACTGTTTATGTCTTCGTAGAGATGTAGGATGACAGTTGTCATGAGAAGATTGTCATCTTTGACGCGGTCAGGATCGTTGAGCAATGGCACCATCAGTCCCAAGCATCTATCATGGTAGCGAACTGCTTCATAAGTGTCCAGGTCGGAGACGCGGCTCAAATGCAGTGCTGATACCGCAAGGATGGCGTTCATGAGTAAAGGACTGTAGGCCCCCATGCTCGGTGCAACTTTTGTGAAGTGTCTCTTGCTGTCGCCAACATCAAACTGGTCGCAACATTAGCGGAATTGAACGGCGTGTAGAAACTGATGACAAACGAACCCATGGAGCCAGATTTTGAATAAAGTGCTGCAAGAGACGGGATTCCTCAATGCTTCTCAATGGCCACACCGACATCGCATCACTTGAGAAATGGGAACGCGGCCTAGGTCTGAATGTATCAAAATTTGTAATCTTCTGGAAAGTTGGAAACTTGAGCTCTGGTGATTTCTCCCGATGCTTTTGTTCGAGCTGGGTCGATACCCTTTGCTGCAATTCGTCTGGCTCATCAAAGCGAGCTGTGAGGCTGGGTTCGAGCAGCACAGCACCTTTTGAGGGTTCTTCGAAGCTCACAAATTCAGTCTGACCAGCATTGCTGTATTCCTCATATGTCGGACATTTGGGGGCATCTGCTCTTTGGTCTGGCGGTAAGTTTTCTCCTCGACGGTGCTGGTCCCCTCTCGGTGACGCTACATGGAATAGGGAAGAACGGCCATCGATATCGTCTGCTCCATAGGCACTGACAACAGCTTCATTTTCATTGACGAATTCCACTTCTTCGGTCCTCACGTCAGTCCGTCCTTATGTAAGGCCCCAGTACAGCGGGTGTTTTACCTCTGGCATTCAGAGGATTCCATTCCTGATCGGGGTCAAAGAAAAAGTCGTACTTGCTGTACTCGGCTGGTGAGATGTCTTTGGACGGGCAGACAAGATTTCGAAAGCTGATGTTGTATCCTCGTATGCAGACACGACCGGCCGACTGGCATTGCGAGCATGTATGCTGTCCATGGCCTGCTATCGATCAGTTGATTTGCAGCGACTTATGCAAAGCAGCCGTCTGGCTGGTATGGAAAGGTGGAGGATTAGGGTTTGCACTTCAGATGCCGGACCCGGCAGCTGGCGCTGAGCAGAGAAATTGTTTAGCGTCATATTCTCTTGGTGGCATTGTGACAGCGAGATGTAAGAAAGAGAACATCATCAAGCTCACCAGTCAGGCATTGATATATTCTTTTGGTCCCACACTCAGAGAGAGAGAGAGAGAGAGATAGAGAGAGAGACACACAAAGAGAGAGAAGGAGTGAGTGAGAGAGAAGCGGAATGATTGGAAGATAGGAATTGGCGAGAGGGAGACAGCCGAGTCTTGCTTAGTAATCATCTGATGACGCAGTGCCAAGAAGCATAGCTAAGATTACAGCAGACTTTAGTATTTTTGAGCTCATTGTGCCCTCTAGTATTCCGTAGCACCTAAGCATTAGCCATTCCTCATTTCTGGAATATGACAATCATCCATACTGATATCCGAGTCTAAAAACAGAAAGGAGAAAGAGAGAAAGAAAGAAAAATTTAACACTCAAAAGTCCGTTGATACGAAAAGGGATGGGAATTCCAGTCGAGTGAGGAAAGTTTCACCTTTGAGCCGAGAAGGGAAACTTTCCTATCAAGCATCTGCCCTTCCGCAATGCTTTCAAATCTTCAACCACCTCTCACCATTCTCACCATCTTGAACCATTGGGGTGCGAGAGTTGGTTTCTCATCAGGTACGATGCCTGCCGTTGGAAAGTTGCCCCATTGGTAACTGGCAATTAGCACCCGTCCTAGTCTACACCGCGATACAAGACAAGCTCCAAACGTTCTCGCCACTTTTACTTGCTCTAGCTATCATACGTTCTTACAGTATGCCTACAGCAGAGGAATGGTGGAGCTATCCGGAGAAGGCGACTGCAAGGATCTGCCGGATTGAGATGCCTGCTGATACCTACGTGGCCCAAGTAAATTCATGGACAAGCTTTCTCAAGCTCAACATTTCCTCGCATGAGCATATGCAATGGGTAATCTACCGCTTTAGGCCAGTCCAAGTACCACTCCGTGCTGTCCCTCTCACCGATGCTTATCAAACATTATCAATTTGCCACTGCCCAACCTTTTCCGTGTACCCGTCGACAAAGTCATATAAGAATACCCTTCCTCCTGCATTTCAATGGAATGCCATATACACAATTCCATCTTACCAACGTCGTTCCTCAGTCAAAAGTATCCTCCTTGGATTCATATCGCGAGAGACGCTGCTGAAGATTTCCTCAACCCGCCACCACCATGGCCGACTTCATACTCAAGCCACCTAGTCCATGTCATTTACCCTCCGTTCAAGAAAATGAGAGCGAAACAGTGGAAGCCATCGTAGAGAAGTCGGAGGCTCCTCCACTAGAATACAGAGCACAGGACCACGACTTCTCAACTGGTCAAGCTCGCAAGCGTGCCATCGCGATACTGATAGTCTTGACCAACCTTGTGCCGGTACTTCAACCCATCCGGTTATACCGCACTCGCTGATTCGTTTCAAAGATGATTTCGTTTGGTCTTGGTATTGGAGGCGGACTGATCATCGGACAATCTCTGGGCGTTGATGGACCAAGTCAAGCGGCGTGGATCCCAGCATCGTACTCGTACGTATCCTTCTACGCTCACAACTCCGACGTGTGAGCTGACATGCCACGACCCGCCAGATTGACTTCGGGTGCCTTCGTGCTCATGACAGGCCGGCTTGGCTCCATCTACGGCCACAGGAATATCTTGCTCGGCGGAGCAGGGTGGTGGATCGTCTGGTCCTTCATCAACGCATTCTGCAACAACTTCATTGCCTTTAATACTGCGAGGGCCTTGAGTGGTATCGGTGCTGCAATGATTGTGCCCAATGCTATCGCGGTCATTGGAACGACACTTCCGCCGGGTAAGATGCGCAACCTAAGTCTAGGGTTTTTCGGCGCCGGGGCTCCCGTGGGAGGATGGTTGGGGGCTCTGTTCGCTGGTCTCCTAGCTGAGCTGACACCGTGGAAATGGTTGTTCATCTTTATGTGAGCGCGATCCTGCAGAGGATCACTATCCACAGCTGACATGATGCGATTAGGGCCATACTAGGACTGATTGTCTTTGGAAGTCTTGCACTCCTGCTTCCCTCAGAGGACCCTCCCAGCAAGTCAGAGCAAATGGACTGGGTCGGGTCCATCCTCGGCATCAGTGGCCTGATCAGCTTCAACTTTGTCTGGAAGTATGTGTCCTGAACCTCGTAACAAAGTACTCCAGCTAATCTTTCATAGCCAAGCTCCCACCGTCGGATGGGACACCCCATATGAAATCGCCCTCCTGATCACCGCCGTCATCTTCTTCGTGGCATTCGGTGTCTGGGAACACAAATTCGCGCAACACCCCATCCTGCCCTTGTCGATTTTCCGGGCTCCTTCGTTCCTCCCACTCGTCATCGTCGTCCTCTTCAGCTTCATGTCCTACGGTACCTTCATCTGGTACCTCGTCGCCTGGCAGCAAGAGGTTCGCCACTGGTCCGCCCTCTCTACTTCCATCGGCCTCACCCCGATTGCGATCTGCGCGGCTTTCGCTGCCTTCATCGCGGCGTGGCTCATCCCGCGACTGGCAGCCCAGTGGATTTTGGCGATCGGCGCTCTGGCGGTGCTTGTCGCCCAGATCATCTTAGCCACGATGCCGGCGCAACAATCCTATTGGCCATCAGTGTTCCCGGCCACGGTCATCCAGTCCTTCTGCCCAGACTTCATCTTCACTGCCGCCGCCATAATCGCAAGCAACAGCGTGAAAAAAAGCGAACAGGGCATTGCTGGAAGCTTGATTGGTACGTTGCAGCTCTATGCAACGAGTATCGGACTCGGGTTTGCTGGGTTTGTGGAAGTGCATACCAATGATCACGGCCTGAGTACAGTCAGAGGTTATCGATCGGCTCTGTATTTCGGTATGGGCATGGCGGCGGTGGCGCTTGCAATCTGTGCATTGGGTGTGAGGATGCCAAAGGATACGAGGGAGGGGTGGCAGGGGGAAGACACGACCCCAAATCTGCGACAGAAGACGGAAGAAACCAACTGTGTGGTTTGAAGGTTCAAGCATATGGCTTCAAGTAAAGAACCAAGACATCCTACAGAAGAAAGTATTAGAGAAATCATAGATCATAGATAGGAATAATCACGCTACGTGTTGAAGACACCTACCCTTCTTCATGCAGGTTCGCGCCTCGTCCGATGACCGAATGCGAAGCTCGTAAGGACCCCGGGAGACTCAAAGCGTTCAATATGAGCAGTGAGTACTTCATTTGACGGCAAACAAGCAACGACCCGTCATGCTGCGATCGCAAACCCCACCACGATCCTTTATTGGGAGCCTCAGACAATGTGGAATATCATGTATGTATCTTGTGGCTGCAGAAGGACATGAGGAAGTCGGAACAGCGAATTTGCACAAACGGTGGAAACGGAGCTCAAGCGTGGACGCTGCGGCACGTACGTCGCTCCCGTTCGAGTGATGTATGTCACGAAGAAGGATATTCCAACGCTCTGTCGGGTCCATCGACGTCCTCCGTGAAGGCACTGGCAATTTAACGTACTGGGCTTGGCACGTGGACGCTATGAGCTCTGGCGCGGTGCACGCCAGCAGGGCACATCCACCAGTTGGTCCAGTAACCGATTTGCTCTCCGTTCGCAGCGAAAGCTTGGCATGACTCGCTGGGTGACTATTTCAAAGGATGGGCAGGCTTGGCCTGCTTTTTTTTTGACAAGGTCTGTGGTCTGCGCAGTCGACTAGCGGGATGCGTATGACGAGAGAAGATCAGGCGGCTGCATGAATTGGCGCAAAAGCATGGTTTGGGGCTCAGCGTTCCACGTCTGTCGTCGTGGAGTGATGACTGCGAAAATATGGGGCTTGACCCGATCAATAATTGTGTAAGACCTGCTCGATATGAGTGATGGATGGCTGTTGTCAGGGGCATCAGCGGAGGCGCGTATAGGCGAGTAATTGGGAGTCTTGATGGTGACTTGAAGAGCATTCGTAGCAGTCATGAAAGGGATCCGTAATCAATCATTTTTGGAGGCAGAAAAACGGTGGCACTCTGCAACTACTTTGCTCCAGGCTTCCTACTACTACTACATGTCTTCTTCTCGGCCCAATCCTTCGCCGTCAGATGGAGGTTCGACCCCCCAATGATACCCATACCCGTCCCAATAATCCACAGTCTCCTGCGCCAGCTTCCTCTCAGGCACGTGAAACTCTCTCGTATCTTCCATCGTCTTCAACTTGAGTTTAGAAACCTTCCCCAACAATGTTCCACGGCTGGCGATCATGCGTAGCTTCAGCCACACTGACAGAGCGATTCTATGTCTCACCGACAAGACACAAGATGGGCTCCCAACTTCCGTTCCTTCCTCGTAGGGCTGTTCTTTAGGCACTTCGCCACGGCAAATCGTGAATACCATCGTATCCACATGGAGCTGACGCTCGAGGGCGCCCTTGTAGATGAACTGAGGACCGTGATGAAACAGGCCGCTGAGCAGGTGCAAAAGCGGTCGAAAGATGAGACCAGGGCCGCCATCGCCTCCGAACTGGCTGCCATGACAGTCATCGAAGATCCTCATCTCTACCTCCAGATTGCGTATGTGACTGATGGGACCGGGAAGAAGGGTCCAGGTGGGCCAGATGTCACAAGCTTGGATCATCAGGTCGAGCGTGAAGTCCAATCCTCGCTCGAACGTATCATGGCGGGCTAAGACCTCACGGACTTCGGTGTACATTTGATGGTTACATGCTTGCAGGCTTTGGCATGCGTATCTTGGGTAGATGTTGACGGGGTAGAAGACGTTATTCTGTCGCTCCGGCTCGGAGCCGAATCCTGCGAAACGTGGACCGGCGTGCTCGGGTGATGCTGGTGGCTCAGATGGTGATTGAAGTACGGCGAGGCAGATCTGGTCGCGAATCTCCCGAGGCAGAGTGAGGAAATTGGGTCGGGCGGTTGCTGGCGTGACTTGAACGAGAGACATGTTGCTGGTTGGGTGACGCAGCTTCAATTGGACGATCGCCTGGCTTTGTTTAGGGAAGTGGTCCCCATGAGTTGATAGACTTTTCAGGTCTTGGGCCTGATTCATGGTCAGTGTTGTAAGTAATGTTGAAGAAAGTGTCCTCCCATAAAGTCCTCTCACTAAGATCAAGGTTTGAAGAGAAATACCACGCCTCACGTTCAGGCCATGCACTCACCTCTCATCTTCCCACGATCTCCTCCACCCTCGCCCTTTGCGCCATTCTCTCCCCTCACTTCCGCCTACCCTCCGAACTCACTTCCCCCGTCCTCGATCACGCTTCCTACTGGGTCTCCACCTCAACCTCCTACACCGCCTTCACCCTCAACTCATACGCTTCTAAGTCTATCCTCAGGACGTCGCCCATGGATACCACGCACAGCGCATTGGTAGATGTGGGCTCAGGCCGGCAGGAAGCCATTGGACCCACGAGGGGCGAGACGCCCTTGCGGAGACAAGGCCGAGCAATAGGTAACAGCGACACAGATGACTAGGGACAACTTGCGGGGGGCTTTTGCGTGGACGACGGCGGTCTAGGAAGAGGCAAAGCTGGCCAAGAGGCTATGGACGATGAGACTTGTGAGGGGAAAGGGCGACGGGCGCGCTACAGGGCCCAAACTAGGGCTTCCCGTGGAAGTCGAAGAGCCGTTGGAGAACAAGACTTCCATGAGTGGTAACATGGCTTGGTGGACCGATTAGGACAAAGACCGGGAACTCGCGCGGAGGCTGAGAGCGGAAGATTCTGTGGAGTTGTGGCGGAATATGGTTGTTTCAGGGTATCGGGTGGGACTATGGAAAGTGGAGGTGGAAGAGCTCATTACGCGGTATGAGGGAGAAGGGTGCGGACATGAGGTGAGTAGCGGCACACAAATACTTACTGGCAGTGCCAACGGTCTATGAGTACTCGAGCTTACAAGTGGCGACCCACTGAAGCTGTCGTAGAGACAGCACAATATTGAACCTGCCGAGCCTGAGAAGCAGTGCTTAATCTCTGGGTCGCCTCCCAAAGAGGTTTCATCTCAAAAACCCAAGATTGTCTCTACGGTATTAAATGTTATGCCGCACGGCGGCTAAGGATAGGACCATGGATTCCGACTGTTACTTTGGTCACAGAGAGGAGACGTGAGACACCCACGGTCGAAAATACCGTTCTGCTCGGGTAAAAGATTCACCATTCTTTGAGAACACTCAGCTCTGGTCCTACCTTATCATCATCGGCAAAACCTCAAAACCATCGTCCTTTTCAGGCGGCGTTTACTTCAACTGCCGGGACAAGAACCTACGGGAATTAAAAGGTCGAGTCCAGCGGTAGAAGCGCAAATGTAAAACAACAGTGATACGACTCGGAGATTAACAACAAATATAATGGAAATGCGCTTGTTGCATGAGGCTGTGTCGAAGGTAAGTGTTGGCAAAAATATAAAAGGGTAATACGTTGTCTCAGAAAGTGAAACCTACTCTCGAATGATTAGGTCCATGCGAACACATCAAATGATGAAACATAGGTCTGCAGTGAGGGGTCTTCTCTTTCCGGCTAACGCTCGCAGCAACATAGCTGCTCGCCAGCTTCGCTGTCACCGTCACCTAAGATGCCTCTTGATACTTGGTTCGCCCGTCGACTCCCATCCCTCCTCTCTTGCCTCTCCCAAAGCTCGTCTCCTCGTCCGTCAGGTCGGCGCCTACAGCGGTTTGGATACCCTAGATTCTAGCCAAGGCGTCACTTTCAACAATTACAGAGGCGGCACTTGGGTCCCGCACACCACAATCACCTCCAGCATCAAATACGCCTGTAGAGATGTTACCCCTGTTTAAGTTACTCCGCTCACTCTCTCATTCAATGTTAAAAGGCTCCAGTACATGGATTATCAGGTGACGCGAAATTGCTATGCAAGGTGATACTCATTCGGCGGTGTGACGCCACAATGCTTTCCTGTCAGAAAGGTTATTGTGTATTTTTATTATACGGGCGATACTCCGTCAGCGACGCTTGCGAATACCGGGGATTGTGAGTGTATTTAGGGATATTTAGGGATATTTGTCATGGAAAGAATGAGCAGACAAGGGGGTTGGTTTACATTTATTGATGGGACTAGTTATAGGGTTGACCCGCAGTTGAATGGTGCTACGCAGTAGGACTAGATGGTGAGTCGCAAAAGTCAAAAGGATTTAGACACCGTACGAAGGCTGCATACCCCTTTGTGATTTACTGTATCTGGTCACATAATCATAACGCATATTGTCGATACTGTTAATCTCATCCACATCTTCCCCAGGTTTATGTCTTTCACATGCAGTATGCGTCTTCGATTCTTCTGTAGTATCGATCATGCGAATTTCTTGATTTCGGCGCACAAGATTGTTCGGACAGCAATTGCAAAATACTTCGGGTAATGAGCCGTCCGCCTGACCTTCCTCGCAGACCATCTCCAATGCCCGAAATGCTCTGCCAGTCACAGATTCTATCTTTCAGAAGTTGGTGATTTGGATATTGTCAACTAGCTTGCTAGACGACTCGGGCAAGGCGTCTGGTATTTCCTGAAAATAAGTACAGTACTTCATCAACTCAGGAACGATTCTGGTATGAAATCGTGCAATGTGAAGTCACGCAGTTCTGAAGGCTAAAAAGACAGAGCTGGTTGACTGATTCAACAAGATGCTTTGTGGCAAATGCAACGCCAGAAAACGCCAAATTAATGGAGGTCTTGGTGCTTGCGAAAATTCTCACAAAACACAAATCTAGCCGAGTCTATATACTAGCGAAACTCTTGGCCTGCAATCTTTCCCCAGACTACCAGCAGAGGTGAAGCGCCTTCTCAAATTTGTTGAACTCTATTGCGTCATTCTCAACTCCATTCTGCACTCTATCATCGCAATTCATTTGCCCAAAAACAAGAGGCGTTCGCCAAGGTGCACAAACCCGCAAATCCATTATCACCGGCTCTTCTGATCCTCCGCGTTGTAAGGTCTCCCCTCCACATCAACAATTAGCAAATTCCGCGGCCCGAGCACCGTTTGCCCTCCCAAAGCATCCTCTGCTGGCACACTTGGACCCAGGCACTCCTTCAGCACACCATCAGGACCCAACAGCTCCGCATAGATCTCGGCATATGTCAACGCGATCCGCTTGTCGAGATCAAACATCATAAAGGTGATGGAGCAGGTTCCGTATTCAGCTTTCAACGGCAGTCGATCCGTTACGCCACGGGACTGGTAGCCGAAATAGTGAGGCTCTACTAACGATTTCCCCTTGACGAGTGTGTCGAGGGCGTGTTCGCAGTCGGATTTGGTGAGTGGGAAGATCTTGCCTAGGATGTCGTCGAAGCAGTCGTTGTCCGTTGTGAGACGAGTTGCGTTGAGGGTCGAAGCATTATGGGACGCGGTCCATGATGTGTTGGAAGTCGATAACAGGTCTAGCTGTAATGGATCGCACATGACTAGTGGTAGGATCACGAGAAGTAAAAGGAAGGGGATCATGGTGGCCAGTCGAGCCCCAACGATCAAAAGCATAATGAAAAGGAAGCAGCGATGTACCGAGAGGACTACCAAAGTTGAGCATGTGTTGACTGGGCGCTTGGCATTATGTAGCGGTGCGGCTACATTACTGACGTTTTGACATTTCGCTTGTAACACGGCATGTTTATTACCGCGTTGCACCGACCGCCAATGTGAACTCGCCATGTTGCACGGACGTGGTTTTGTTCATGCGGCATATGTTCTTGATCAGCACCTTGTGCTTTGATTGTACGTCATTACCTTCAGCGATAGGCTGTGAGATGCTGTTGGCGGCGCTGGGTTACACTGCTGAAGAACAGACAAGAGAAGACATGATGTACTCTTGGAGAGATATTAGATCCTGGAATCGGATCCATGGCAGTTGCCTTCAACAGCGACAGTATTTAAGTCAAAGGATAGGGCCAGTTGGCTCAGAGAAGGCAGAAGCCAACTTGTTCATGGGCAGTGTTTTCTCCACCGTGACTTCTTCGCTCCTTCGCTGGCGTGCAAATACACTATCATCAAAGAGCTTTTGAATCTGCCGCACAGAGTTTTCCAAGTCAAAGATGAGCGAAGACGAAAGGAAGGAACTTGGACCGAGGGACCATTGAATGATGACTTGGCATGATTGGAGCTAGACTAAACCCAGCCTAGTGAAATCATTTCCCCTCAACTCCAACAAAACCTCTGACATCTTCCCCTTCACACTTGTACAGCACTGCTTACAAGCCTGTTGGATTGTCTCGAATGCGATTGGCTATTCGATCAACCGTGCGAATAGGTCGACCCAATGCCCGAGCTTGTAGAATGGCTCTAGATGAAAGGACCAACCTGGACTACACCTGGTGTGAATCAGTCTCACATCAAAATGAAAGGGGAACTCTTATATATTCTTAGGCACTCATAAAAGTAGTTTATACTCATTGAACTGCTGCCCTCATCAAGGCAACGGCGTCCTGGAATACTTGATGTTTCGTTGATAAACACGGTATGAAGCATGGTTATTGTTATCTCGCGACCATCGATTGACGTCCGAAAGGTATCCGGTCAGCATCTGCGATCATCTGTTTCTTAGAGTTAAAGATGCTAATTTGGGCCATGCTTGCCCAGACTGCAGTTTCTCATCTATTTTCTCCGCCGCCTCCTTGTTTCACCTGTCGTTTGATTTTGCCTTGCGTACCACAACAACAACCCACTCTTACCAGGAGAGGCACGGGGACAACAGAAGTCAAGCACAATTGAACTTCGAGTACCATCTGATTGAAACAGACATGTGTGCCAGTTTTGTTGGGTGTCCCTTACTCATTTACCCTCCTTATCATTGCGCGAGACCCGCGCGCAATGGTTTCTCAGTTCAGAGCGCACCATCTTTCTAGAATTCTTGAGACGCAGGAATCTTTTCAATCCAAAAGCCGGGTACGAGTACACAGATATCTACCATTTCGCTGTCGTCGCATCTTTTCCTCCCATCCACCAGACTAGCTTACTGCGATGTGGGAACCTCGTACTGCTAGTGCAATAGCCGCACTTCTGTCCATCACCAATGCTTTTACACTCGACTTTAACTCCGCCGGCCAATGCACCGGCGCTACCATCGGCGAGTTCGTTGGTACTGTTGGGTCCGGATGCCAGACCCAATTCTTCAACGTATCTGACTCCAACATATTGATACCTGTCGAAGGCGGCTCTGACAACGTCCTCATCACTCCCAACGTGAAATCCAGCCCTAGCGACAAAAATTCTGCGGTAGCTTGGTATGGGGAGGCTAACTGTCAGACCCTAATCGCTCTGGGCAACGTACCCGTGTGTTTGGGAGTGGGGAATTATGAGTCCTTCCAAGTCATCGATATCACAGATGTCGGCTTCACGTACCTGGACCCTGCAGGGGTAGTCGAGATGCCTCCTAATGCAACCGAGACTGCCACTAAGGGCGAAGTTCTCACCGAGCCAGGCGCCGTTTCAACACCAGCATCGAGTGCGCCTCCACCACCAGCTACCACGAGTGCAAAACCAGCGAAGATGAGAAGAGAAACCACCAAGAAAGGTGCGGTGGCAAAGCGTGGACAGTCTAGGCAGGCTTCACACATGACAAATGCCAAGCGGATGACACATGGAGCCGTCCATAGCGCCGCAGGTCAAGAGTGGAAGTTTCAACAAATCGCAAGTCGGGTCTTTCGCGGCGTCAATCCCGCTACGTGGAACGACAACATCCATAAGCGCTCCTCTGCTGAACTCGAGGCCCCCATCTCTCTACCAGCCCTTAGCCCGCTCCAATCACGTGCACTTTCCGATGCAAATTGTAACTTCATTCGCACCTGCATGGTTGACTCCGGAGACTCTCCAACTTTCAACATCGCATCCGCTGGCGCCCCACTCCTCTCGGCCATCCAAAGATTAAACACAGCCAATACAGACGACTGGTCCTATCTACAGTCCCCCACCGTCGTCGAAGTCGTCGATGAGTCCGGAAAAACCGAAGGATACATCTATGCGGTAACCCTCCAACACTCCGAGAATGTGAATACATGCTCTGACCAAGCAACACAACGAGACGTGCTGCAGGCGGCGCTTGCACAAGGTGCGGAAGGGAGTTCTGTGACTGATATGCAAGTAGCACTGCAGGTAAAGGCGCCGCAGCCGGCGGGAGAGACGAATTTGTTGTTTGTTAGTACGAGGAGTGCGACGAACCAGGATATGAGTATTCATCCTGTTTGTGAGGCTGTGGTGGTGGACTTTTGATGGGATTTACTTCCTTGGGAGATGGATGAATGTACACTGGCAGAACCTTGCACTGTATGCGGCGCTGGCGTTTTTCGAAAAGACCTGGATTGTGTGATTGTCAGCTCCTGCGGAAGAAATGATGTCGTTTGCTTTTTGAACACGACCGAGAGTATAAACCGCAGATGCGGGAAGAGCCACTAGAATTCATGCACAGTACCACTGCCCGTTTCCCTTTGCGAAACTTAGCAGACAGGAGACCCGAACCTTTGTCAACGTCCATTGTCCATCGTTCTTTTGAAACTCGCTTATCTGATTCGGTGCCAATAAGTAGGGTGCAAAGTTAAGACGATACAATTCTTTTCACAAATGGGGACCAGGTCTCGGCAGAAAACTTTGAGCGTTATCGTACAAATTCGTTCAAAGCCTTCCGTCATTTGTGAAGTCTCTCCTGCGTGACACGCTTAGTGGTCTCACTGAAGGAACCAAATACTCCTGTGTCTACGACACCGTGTCCATTCACACAACTTCATCCTGACATACCACTCAACCACGAATCCTACATTTCAGCTGAATCCTTACATACCTCAAGCTCCGCCGCCACCATGTGCCAGACCTTCTACTTCGAGCACGACGACTGCACCTGCATCTACATCCCAGCCAATTTCACCCCTTGCGCCGCCTACTCTCTGGCTCATGCAGAAGGCAAATCCGAACCACCTAACCCCTTTGCCGATCCGGAAGACCCTCCCACAGAGCCCGACCCCTTCGCCGACCCGGAAGACCCCTTCGCTGACCCGGTCCCGGAAGCAAATCCCTTAGGCGTGGCTTCCAGACCCAAGCTTCTGACACAGGCGTACGGAGGCCTCGATTTCACCTATGACGATGTCGACTTCGTGAGCGTGGATGTCAGTGGTGCGAGGGCGCCGAAGGGCCTGGAATGTTCAGAGGGGTTTGCGCCAAGGCTGGCTCATCGGGCTGAGGGTGGATTTGTGGTGTGCGCGCTCTGTGATAGGCCTGATGTGTTGGAGTTGGTGGGGTGGATGGGGATGGGGAAGGACGAGCACAAGCACAAGGACGTGGACATGGACATGGACATGGGAAAGGACAAGGACATGGACCTGGGAAAGTACAATGGGAAAGAGGAGGAGGAGGAGAGAAAGGGAAAAGAGAAGGAGAAGGGCAAGCCGAAGGAAAAGGGTATCCGCCATAAGACCGCGCTCGTCAGAGCAGCGGTTGTGAAGTCGTTCAAAGTTGCCGTCGGCTTTAGGGCGCCGAAGCCGGGAGACAGCTCTGCGGATTATTCGGCGATCGGGGAAGGAGAAAGCTCGTCGTCGACGAGGCCCGCTCGCCCAAACTACAGCATTCCATATGGTCCGTAGTTCGTCTATCGTCTCGACTCGTTCAGATTATGTTGGACGATGATTTCGAATGGTCCATAGAACGAATACCAGAACAGTCAAACCCGTTCTCGAAAAAGCTTTATGCCCGCTTTTCAAGTTCCAATCTCCCTCGAGACTGACTAAGACTAATCAGAAAATCCTAAAACTAAATGAATCCAGAAATCTCAGACCACACACTTAGACTATGCTAGGACCGTTCATCAGAACTCTCAGACTGGTCCATCGGACTAGTCCATTGAACTGTTCCGGACCAACGGGAGCCTTGAAGTTCGAAGCACAACCGGGCACAGAGGCTACTATGAGAATGAAAAGACCGCAAGAGAGAGCATGTGCATGGTCTCTGTGCCCATTTCTATAGTGAGAAGGGAAGACCCTCTTTTTGAGGCCTCTCTGCCAAGACGCTAGTTGCTTCTCCGCATCGTCTGAGATAGGAGAAGTGGCCCCTTTCTCAGAAGGGGCCCCGTATATGAAGGGGTTCTAATGGGCTCCGTCTGCGTAAGATCTTCCGGCTGTTCCAATGTGTAAGAAGAGACTTTGCGTCTTGCTTGCCAACCCTTATCGTCTCCATTACACCCATTTCATTTGTCTGAAGTAGCTATAATGCTGGCGATATAGAAGAATAAGAGAATTTGTAGAAGGTTTGTTTGGAAATTGTCTACTGGGTAGTATGTGGGAGAGATACGTCTCTATAGGTACTGCTAGCGATTGGTGAGATTTCTCTGGATTCTCATAGACGACAGTGTACTGCCTCAGGCTCTGCTTAACGTATGACAGGTGGCTGGTTTGGTTGTATAGGAGATAATTACGTATAAAAAATGCGTGCTTATATCTCTCGGATAATGCACCCACTCTCCACGATCTGCAGCAGGGGTCGCTTGAACCTTCCATTTGCAGTTAGCTTCGAGTTTCGGCAATTTAATTTCTCTTCCATAAATCCAGCACTCCAACCTTTTTTTTCCATGTTTATGTCCCTCGAAAAAGTCATGGTGTACAGAATTTTACCAGCAACGCCCGCCGATTTGCCTGATATTATCGCTATCTTTCACGCGGCATTCGCCGCAGACCCTTTCGTTGGTCAGTTCATGATCAATGTTCCACCAGAAGTCAAATTGACCTATGACATGCACTGCTATGGACATGAATTCGAGATGAGCGAGCTCAACGGGCTAAAATTGAGGAAAATCGTTGATGGGGATGGGTACGATGATAGCCTGGGTCAAAACTCAACAGTTAGACCGTGCACTCACTGGTGCCTAGAAAGACGCTAGCTTTCGCAAAATGGCAGTACCCCTATACTTTGACGGCGGAGCAAAAGTCGAGAAAAGTACAGCTTGACGAACTCCAAGAGCTGGAGCATCCACTCCCGAAGGGAACCAATAGAGAACTTTACCATGTCTTCTTTGCGGCGCTGAGAGAGAAGAAAGCCAAGTGGATGGATGAGAGCAAGGACTACCGTAAGTCCGAGTTTGCTATGACCGGATGCCATGACTTGATTCGACTACTCTTGCCATCTTGTGAGAGTGTTCTGTACCATTGTTTTGGAAAAGCTGTGGAAAAGCAAGGTGTCCTTGCTTGCTGGCACGATCTTCCGTCATTCGATTCCAATGCCTTCATCACTACTTATGCTGGGCTTGGGACCGGCCCGATACTGATTATTGGTCACCAGTTCTCCACACCCTCGGTGTCTCACCCGCCCATCAGCGCAAAGGTCTTGGTGCTATGCTCATCGGCGAAGGCCTTGCGGATGCAGACAGAAACAACGCACGGACATACATTGAAGCTTCGCCCGCGGGATATGACCTTTATCTACGCCATGGCTGGAAGCAGGTCGATAAGATTGTGATCGACATCAGCAAGTATGGCGGGCATGGAGTGGCGACCGAGAAGCTGCTTTTGAGGGAGCCGGGCGGCAACTAGGGTCTGGTGAGTACGAGTTGGGAGACTGGGGAAGCTGGGTTTGGAATTTCGGTACCTGACAGCTCTCGTGCCGGTCAGCTCTTACCTGGTATAGCTTTCATGTAAGCAACTTTTCAGAAATGCATCCATCAAATGGTAAGCTCTTATTGTTCACGGGAACTGTTACAATGCCGAGAAACGCTCGCCATATCTCCCGAGGGTGAATTATCGGCGCAGTCTTTTCGCCATGGATGGCCTTTCTTACATCAGCTTCGTACCTTTTACCATGAACGGCAGCTCCATCTTTCTGGGTGGTACGAACACCCCGAGAAAAGTTGGCCCCTAGCTATTGTTGGCCCATACCCGACGCGGATCGGAACGAGGCGGCAGGCGGTCCTTCATCTCGATAGTGGGACCGTTGCTGAAGCTTAGATAATAGGTTTTGCGCACATATGACAATCATCAGCGCTTCCGTCTCGGACTACAGGCCGCTCAACTTTGGGTGTGACCACACCAGCTAAGATTGGATTTCTCGATTCACGGTCTTACTATCCACTATATGTTTTTCTCTTCAACACGAAACTTACCAGAATTTGGCTATGCTGAGCGAGTTTTACCTTGTTGGCGACAGCTCAAGCTGTCCAAGTTGCACGTACATATTTTCCCACTACTTCAACGTCTCACTACTGAATATCTGCGCAGCTCCTGACACCGTCCAAGTTGACCCTTCTTACGTCCAGAAATGCAAACTCCATGACAACGCCATCGCCTCTCTCTTTTCCAGGATCTGAGATGTGTCCTCCAGCTCGTCATCACCGACCTAGAGAAATTTTGTACTAATGTCTGCTCAGTTTTACTAACTTGTTCTAAGAAGAGTTGCGGCGTTGAATGCACAGGGATCTATTATTATCGTGCGAGTGTGTGGATTATAGGCATTCTCTATCCTGCTGTCCCTGCGCTTGCGCGCATTTGTATAAGCAGTACCGATTGGAGAGACAATGGTGCAACACTAGAAGTCTGTGATCGAACTGTCTGCTACCAAGGAGAACTGGGTGTCGCAGAGCATCTCGAAGGACAGGGTTGCGTTGTGGATTTACTCATTGTCTAGCTGATCTATTGCTGGGGTAAGCCTGTTGGTCGCAATGTACTGTTGTAGGTGGAGCCGTTGGCGGCAAGACGGATTGGAGACGGGAGCGGGGCTGGTATTGGCGTAACCGTGGTGCCGTTGTCGGACTGTTCGAGGGTGATCCGTGCAATGACTCTGAAGATCCCCCAAAAAGTTTCGCTCAACTTCCCACATCACTCAACGGCTACCCCACGACTCGTCTACGTATGACACGGATCATTGTTCGCTATATTTTCCGCGTTCAAACTCGTACACGGCACGGCACGGCTCGCAATTATCACACCCATCGACCGTAACATGGGATTCATTATTCAAATAGCTACTGCCGCAAACCTTGACATTGTCATTGTGGTATCTATTCTCAAAGACCGCTTTGGTTGGAGCGCCCGTCGTGCTCACCGCAGAATCGACGGCGCCATTACAGGTGAACCTTGTGGCGCAGCCGTTGTCGGCGGACGGGAAGAGATGGTTGGCGACGCAGTCTACCCCTGAGGGTAGGATGTGGGAGGTACGGAGATTGGAGAGGGGTTGAAGAGGGGGTAGAAGTAGAAAAAATGGGTTGCTGTGGAGGGCTGCTGGCAATTGAGCTCACGTCACTGGCACGTATGACGGTGATAGGGGCGTTACTGGCCTTGGTGCCATCCAAACGGCTCTGGGTCCGCCTGGGCTCTTTACATGAGATTGATTGGACTGGTCCGACTGAACGAAGCCAGGATGATCTGATTCTCCACCTCTCATATAGTACTTGTTCTCATCTGGTTGAGGAGTGATTTGTACGCCCGTAGGCAGCTCAACCTCTAATCCAGTCTCTGTCACCTTGTCCATCGTTGAAATCTTGGGTCTGAGGCTTTGATTATCAAAGAAAAGTGGGGACGGGGGGCGGGGTACTGTGAGTTCAAGGGATGGAGCGTGAGAGACTCGCCTAGTGCTAATCTTTACAGGCCTCGTCTTCGGTGCAGCATCCAGTGGTGATGGCTATCCAGGTATTGAATACAATTCCAAGGGAGTTTCAAGATTAGGGGAATGCTTCGAGGATAAGGGGTTCAGCATAATTGATGTGCTACCTGTCTTCATCGTTTATTTTCGATCGCGATATGGATGTGTAGCCTCAGGCTGACACTTGCATGGATAGGAAAATGATTGGGTTCGGAGCGACGCGAAGCCTCGTGTGTGCGTTTGCGGCATCTTGTAAGATGATTCAATCGATTTTCATAAGGGATCTTACTGTCACTGCTCTCGTACAGCCTAAAATAGTCTGAACACAGCCAAAGAAACTCTGCCAGTCAACTGCAATTCTGCACCCTCACATTCAGGCTAGTTTTGCATGATGTATAGAAACTTTGCGCTTTTCGGGTTTCTAATTTCCGTGAGCTTACATGCAGAGTTCCTTCCAATGCCGCACTGCGCAGCTGCTCTCCACTCATTCTTAAACCCCGAAAAAAAGAAAGAGTAAAGAGGGAAGACATTCAATAGTCTTGTAACTACTGGAGTTGATTGCTGGATGTCATTGTTTCAGCCCTGTCGTAGCCGACCCTCCGAAATAGCTCTCCTCTGTGGGTAGAAGTCCAGCCATCACACCGAGGTTCATGACTCTTAAAGTCTTTGTGCAGTTGCAATGGCTATGTTGTACCTGAAGAACCATGACGCTCGCCGGAATGAAGGAGCTACAGATCTTGTCTCCTATTCTTCTCCTTTTCAATCCGACGTGTAACTAAACCAGAGAGCGCTACGTACTCCTTACCGACCTTTCCACAATACTTCTTTTCAACGTACCTCAACCTCGGTCAGCGGCCCAAGGTAGGTCCTATGTGCGATTGTCAGGTAGTAGGCTATGCTAAACAGGATTATGCCACCGAAGACCAGGACACTATAGTTCATGGACTCCGCGGTAGTCGGCGTTGCTGGTGGCCAGAAACTGAAAAATATAATGATGATCACAAATGCACAGGCTACAATGTTAACGGCTATTCCTAAAACCCCTGGGATTCTGAAAGGACCCCAGTGCAGACCCGTCTTTTGCGCTGTATCTTGGGAGGACCCACCAATACCGCCAGTGCAGCGGCGCCACAGAAGAAGCGTGCAACAAATGAGGTAGGATGAGTAAAGTCCACCGACCGTCAGCGAAATGACGTCGTTGAAAGCGACCGAGGAGCCGATGTTGATCAGCGCGAGAAGGCAGGTGAATACGGCGGTGAGGAAGATCGGATAGAGAGGTAACGAGGTGCGTCGATTGATCTGTCAGCTGGTCAAAGACATATCGGATCATGGATACGCTACTCAGTGGATACCAACCCTGCTGAGATGCTCTGAGAATGGTAGTCCACGATCTCTAGCAAAGGACCAGGTCATGCGTGACGAAGACGCGAGCGAAGTCGTCGTCGCACAGACATACATGAAAATGATCACAGCGACCATTCCTGCGCCTCCAGAGTTTGAGCCTACGGCTTGCGCAAACACTGCCATGAACGGATACTGGGTGGGTGGCGTCGAGCTGATCGTATCAATGTTCCCGAGGCAGAACACCATTGCGACGAGCATGCCGAAGCCGAGCGTGCCATTGATGAGCACACTCAAGATCATTGAACGCGGCACGATGATAGCAGCATTTCTGACCTCCTCGGATATGTGTATGGCTCCATCTGTACCAAGGAAAGCAAAAACAGGGCCCACGAGGCCCACAAAGAAGGATAGACCCTGTGTAGGCCACCCCCCCGCGTTTGTAAAAACCGTGAAGACCTCTTGCGGGGAGCTATGGGGGCCGAGATAGACTAACGGAATCAGTATCGCGACAAATGCCACGATGTGGAGTATCAGGATCAGTGTCTCTATCTTTGCCAGAATACTGCTGACCAACGTGTTGATACCGAGACCGCAGATCACCACCGCCCAAGCCAAAAGGGTACCATGCCAGCGTTGAGGGTCATAGGTTGGGCAGGTCAAGATGACGACTCCTTGAATCGTTGTTCCAGTGAGGTATGAGGCCGACGCGATCTGTGCTTGCCAGCCAAGTACTGTGAGCCATCCCGTGATGTAGCTGAGAATCTTCTGTGAAGACTTGGGTGCCAGCATTGCAACCCAGTGATATTGGCCGCCCGCGGTTGGTGCCCTTTCAATGGTTATCAGCGATGCCTTGACTCTTTTATCCTATTAGGACAGATACATTGATGCCAATTCACTTAGTGTAGTAAAGACACACAGTGTGCCAATCCATACGATTATGAAGCCGTATATCAATCCAGCTGGGCCTCCGCTAAATCGCGTTTGTTAGACGGCGAGTTCGCTTTCATGAAAGCAAGAAACACACTTGCTTAGACCCGTGGTGAAGACTCTGCAGACATGGTTCAGCGAATGGCCCGAATCGGGGAGTTGTTATGCGCACGAAAGCTGGCCTTCCCAGGTTATCAGGAGAGCACAGCTAAAGCCCAATGTGGACCAGAACCCGAAACTCCTCTTAAAACATTAGCACGGCAACTGCATAAAAATCATACTTTTATCGCGCACCTTCAGGACTTGCTTTTTGCCCAGTCTAGCCAACTGGTCCTCATCGCCGTCGTATGTATTCTGAGGCCCAACCGCTGAGTTTGCACCTTTAATGTCGACCTCTGAATGCAGGAGATCGGCATCTGTCGGATTCGGGAGAGCGCGGAACTCTTGAGCCTTTTCCATCATGCTCGGTACTCAATGGAAGTGGGACAAGGCAAGGAGAAAGAAAATGTCAGGAGTGTTCTCGAAGACCATGGACAAAGGAAAAGAAGAAGAAGATAGAAAGGGAAGCAAAAGTATTCATAAGCAATGGCGGGGAATGCAGGATAGCGGGATAGTTCTGCGAGCTGCATAGACCACAAGCGCGGTATCTTGCGGCTGCCCGGAAATGCGTTCATGCAGGGTTTTGGAGCTGTTCTGCAACAATCATTGGAAGATACCGCGGCCTCGGTTTCTTGCAGCTGCACAAAGATGCGATTGGTCCCTCCAGCGTGCATGCAGACCTTCAGACCTGCCTAGCAGGGCTGGGGTTGCCCCACTGATACGCTAGGCTTATCTGGGCTCCAGCTTGGTCCACATGGTCGGCTACTCAAGTTGTGGACGTGTAGATACAGTGTTTTTCCCGCCAAGAAGGATGTTCCATGGGCTGGAAACATAGGGAACCAGGGCCGAAATAACCGGCTGGAACCCAATCGGCTTAGAACATCTATCAGGTAGAATGACAGCGACAGCGCGGTCCTGTAGAGGTCTGTTGAGGAAGATTGGTATAAGCCATTGGTACGCAAGGTAGGCGTTGATAGGTGCTCAGGAAAACGGTACAACATATCAGACACTGCCACACTGGTAAGCGGGGTAGAATAGGCCTTGGCGATTAAGCGACCTAGTCAAGATGCGAATACGAGAAAGTTCATCATGCAAAGTATTCTGCCGCAGGCAACTCCAAGGGATGTACCGGTCGCCCACATCTGCAGCATCTCCTCCTCCATGTTTTCACTCCCTAGCCAGCTTCTGGTCTTCGCTGCACCGCTCTCCCACACATGATTCTAGGTCTTCAGTGCAGTAGCTGCGCCATATAGCAAGAGACCTGAGAACCTTTGTAAATTGTGATTAATAAGGACTTGAACACTGTACTTTTTCCGCTCCGAAACCCAAAGCAAAATGCTCGAGGATATTGATCCGAAGGTAAGTCGTGATTTGACGAGATAGTAGATGAGTGAAGTTGAGGGTGCAAGGACAATTGTTGAAAGTCGAATCTTCAGGGTGTTCTACTCTTTGGACGCTACCGTTTGAGTGGGATGTCAACAGCTTCGTGATGATACGATCACAGATTGTTGGAAATGGTATGAAGGATTGATTGATTAGGTAGCTATGAGAGTGCTGAGTGGGCTACTTATACCCCTATTTGCCACCATGTGGGGTAGCTTCAACACAGGTGCTGCAGCAAATCTCAAGACAGATGATCGAAAGCTCGAGACTTTGATGGTATGACTGTACTGAATGAAGTCCACCCGTTCAGAGTACCCTAACCCCAAAGCTTAACGCCATTTGGCCATCTAACTATGCTCAGTCTATGATTCCTGACAGACTTGTTGACGTCCTCCCAGCCATGATGACTTGCCACTCCCCTCCAAGATCTTCTTCTGCTTGCAAATGCAGCCGCGATATGCACGAGAAGTCGGTTTCGCCGCCAATAGTTCGCCGACACTATTATTGAACAGCGTATTCCTCGGATGGCTGAGACCCCCAGGACGAGACTCTATATACGCATTGGCATCGTCTGACACCACGATATCATCAGACGCCGTGCCATTGAGCGGTCGAATACTGAGCAGTCTCCCGAACCAGCTGTCAGTATAGTCCGTTAACGGCGAAGCGGGACGTTCCCATTTCGGAATCGCAGACAATTTCTCCGCCAGACTCGCGGGACCGTTGCAGACGGCGGCTTTCTCGAACAGAAGAGCACCAGTGGTCCAACCTTGCTGGAACATAGTCGATATCAGGTTCCTCGGGTTACTGCTTAGATTGCCGGCTTAGACAGGCGTGAAGCTCGAGTTCAGATCCTCGCTGTAGCACCATCGCCCACACTGACTGTTTTTGTCATAGCTCGTACATCCGAAATGGCCGTTGGCGCGCGAGTAGGGCAATTTTTCAGGACCCATCTGGATACGGTAGCCGTTGGGCTCTGGAGAGCGCTGCGACGTCAATACCTACGAGAGCAAGGACAGTCCGGCGGGTCTATGCGAGGGTGCTGGATAAGAGAAAAGTCTCGCACGGTTATGCGAGGCTGGCTGAATCGTGCTGTGGTGATGCGAACGCTCTATCTGTCGTTGTGTTGCGAAACGTGTCGAGGTCGTTCGTGAGATTTGTCGTGACTGAATTTGCTGGGCGTGAGAGTTCGAGACAAAAGTCACCGATTCAGCCACTCCCGTCCCTTGGTGAAAGTACGTATCAAACCATTCCTAACACTCCATGTTGTGCGTCAATGCGGATCCTCGGTCGCTAGCGGGGTTGCGCCTCAGCTGCCGAGCTCAATTGGCGCTTGCCAAAGGGACTGGTCACTGGTGAACAAGATGGTCAAGGCACTCAAGCTTAGCGAAAGGCTCGGCTTTGCGCGCGATAATTCTCTTGTTTTGTATCTTCTGCAATTGATCGTCATTCGGGGAAGCTCTTAGCCAATGAGCCTTTCTTTCTTGACAGAATGCAAAGTATTCCGAACGCTGTGACATAACAGACGGGATAGAGTAGGAGGAAGAGTATGGCAACGGAAGTGAAGACCATAATGGCGGCTTGTTGGCGGGTCTGCTTAATTCGATGCCTTGGATGCTATGGGGTAAGAGTGCGGCGTCACTATTATTCTTCGTGACTGAGACTATAGAAGACAAAAGACAAACAGCGCAGATAAAGATGCCTAGGCCAGATGCCAAATCAGTCGTCTCTTTGGACACTGAATCTTACCCGAGATAGAGTCAATGAGATCCTGAATGATGTAGGCTTCACACTTGCGACGATCATTGATGGTATTGTCGTCCAGTCTCAACCTCATATGATCATATCTCTGTAGACAGACGATGCAGTGTCGATGCCCCGGATGCTCGACAAGGAACAGTATAGAGAGAACCAATAGGTCATTCGCCAATCAGCGTGATCTGCCTATGCTTTTCCGGTTTTTTCAGGTATGGTCCCCAAGTGGTGGGGTGGAGAACAAAAGGCTCTGATGGCGAGGATTGTTCAGCTTTCCTTCATTATGGCGAGCTGTAGCATTATGCTACTGAATAAGGCATCAGAGAAAAGGATTGGAGAGAAGATTGCACGATTCGTTAGATTCAAAATGGTGCAGTTCCCATTACGCGAATTTGAGCTAGAAGACTTATCGATCAAGCATCGCTGTCATCGCTTTCAGTCATCCAAGTATCTAGTGTAATCACAAAATTCCTCCCATCAGCCCTGCTGCGTCCAGCAATGTCTTCATCGTTGTGGCAGCAAGATAGTGGACGTCAGGGTTCCTATTTAGAGACTTTGATTCTCTCATCTTCATCACCGCAGCAGTGTGATTTTGTACACACTAAAGAGTAGTACCAAGGGTTCTGTTTTGGGAGAGAGAGGGCTGTGCAAATTGGCAGGTTTCAGACTTTACGCTTGTTGTGGCTCCGATAATCGGACATGGACCGGCCTATCTAGTACGTCTGGAACTGTTTCTTCGCTTCAATTTGTTAGGTAAAGTACCGGGCCGCATCCATATTAGTATAATAACATGGATGGTAAATTCATGGCCGTGAACTTTGAATTATCTTAAGACGTCGAATGTGAATTTGCGACAATGGTTATGTAGCAGAAGGCCTGAGAGGTCCGCTCTGAAGGTAATTTCATCTAGCTCCAAGACTTCTGTAGGCGCCTCCACCACGAAGGTTCAAGCTACGCAGATCTGATTTTTCCTTTTATTGCGATAGCACTATCCTAGGAGATAAATTTGAGTTCCAGACCAGGCGTGGAAAGAGTAGCAACGGTGCTATTGCGGATCGGCGCCTTGCTGACGACAGAGAGTACATGGTCGATGGAAGAAGCCTTCTACGGTATTCGAAAGCCAACACCAGAGCGAGGAGTGTTGAGAGTTCTCAGACGTATGCAGATTCCCCTTCTGGCAGCGTGTCTGGGTTGTCCTAGCATAAAAGGGACATTACGTCTGCGAGATCAACCCCTGTGAGTCCAACAACAACATGACCCTGCCAGCGAACCTCGCGCGGGAAAGCGATATTCGGCGTACAAAGTTCAAATTTGGGCCTGGAGGCCTTACCATCGCAACATTGCCAAGAGGATGTGAGCACATAAACTTAGAGTAAGATGAGGGTGGGGAGGCCTGAAGGCAGTTGAACAAGGCAACTTAACAACAACTGACTTGATTAGGTATAAAAAGGTCTGTAGTGCTGACAAAGAGGGGCGTGGAAAGATTTTCGAAGTTTAATGGAGTCCGCCGATTGTTGGGTCGGTCTGCGGAGGGAACCCCTCAATCCAAGACCTGAAATACTTCGAGGGGTGACATTCTGGCCATGCGATGAACACATTCAATTGCAATCGAAGAGATATTAAGCGCGTCTTCGGTACTTTATAGAGTCCTTCCCTGGAGGATCCGAAGGCGCGTCTGCAGTTCTCGGCTTCGAAGTTCGCACCAATCATGTGGTTCATTTGAGAGTAACAATGTGTAAGAAGTTCATTGGGCAGTGTTGCACAAGGAGGGATCTGGAACGTTAGCGCTTTTGCATGATGGACCAAAAGGGGTATGTTGTATCATGTATAGCGAAGAACAGAAAGGAAAAGGAAATTAAGGTCAAGTTCAGCCCCATATTTTTAGGGGTGTTTAGGGGCTGGTCAGCCTGGGAGCCACTTAAAACTTTAGGACTGAGCCGCCGCCGCTGATCCTGCTTACATGTACCCTAGTATTAATACCTAGCCTGATTACCTATCAATATCATCCTCCAATCCGCTTCTTCCTCTTCCTTACCTCAGCAATCCCCCCCCAACTAATCTTACTGTTTGATACGTCCTTCTCACCGTTCCATCATCAATCCACATGCCACATTTGGGAGTCGCTTTGGAACCGAGTAATAATGATGAGTAACTACTACTGCAACCTCCGCCGCAGCCTACCGAGAAGTAGCGGCTCTGGAAAAATCTGCGCAAGACGTGTAAGCGAGTGAATGATCCTCCGCATGAAGTACAGTTGTGCGCCTTTCTGTTCTTGCTCTGAAGCTTGTCCTGTACAGAAGTTGATGCGTCCTTGTTGACGCTCTCGTTCTCATTCTCATCCGTTGATCCATAATTCTCCATTGACTCTTTGTTACATACGACGTCATGTTCGCAATCGCCCTTGCCCGATCCGTGCCACTACAACAAGAGGCCCTGCGGGTACCTGCAGGGCGGACACCAATGATCGTCCAGCTATTCGCAGCCCGCATTAGCGAAATAGCTGGAGGCTCTCAGCAAGTACTAGGGCTGTTTCGGTGACTATTTTCTAAAACAAACTGCGGCGGAGATAATGTTGGGGGGGGCGAGGCTGCCTCCTGGCATCAATGTCCATCATCGTATGTCCCCATCCGACTCGATCTTGGGCCAGATACATGGGTCATGCGGACATTACACGCATATGGGCTGCTGTTGTCTGCTGAACTCTGTTGGTCTCGTAGTAAATTTGCTCACTTGCTGCGCTGCTCTGTCTGTTTCACTAAATGCTCACTATGTTGGCTACAAGGAGAATATCTACAGTATTGTCCGGCATATGGTGGCACTATCAGAGCATGGCATCAGGCTTACTTACAGGGTCTTTCCATATTACTCGTCTCAGTTTCCTGAGTGTTCACTGCCTTCTTGTCGTCTTGCGAATCTTCTCAGTGGCTCACATATAGCTGTCGGCCGCCTTGTTCCATACTCGATCTTGAGTAACAGCATTCCCTGTTTTCCTTGGTGTGCATTATTGTATTTTCCTACGCCCAGTTTCGACCATGGCGGGACGACTCTCATTCTTAGTTGGTGCCATATCTCTCTACACTCAGTATGTATCGGGCCAAGTCACCACAAGTGCATCGCCAGTTGTGTCGACCGTCAGCGGTCAAGCTGTTCCTGCATATGTCTATCCCCCACTTACCGTGACTGGACAATTTCCTTGGTAGTTCCCTGTACTGCATGAGTTGCAGTGAATCCTGCTGAGAAGTTGCAGCTTGACCGCCAATTCGTACATGATCTTTAAAGACTCTGCAAGCTCGTCTGCTACATATCCTATTTGGACCTGCACAACCAGCTGTGGCAGTGTCTCGAGTGGCGTTGGCCTCATGGTAAGCGCTTCAATGAATCCTTTTAGTACGCAAGGTCGGCAAAGGTTTACATGATACAGGTGTTTCCAGCCACAACTACGACCGGAACCTACGAAGTCCAGAACCCGCCTTCCGGCTATCCCGCATTGGAGGTCACGGATCTAGCAGTCGTTACCGATAAGGCTTTCTCGACACTTCCGTCTTACAACATCGTGTGAGTCATCCAAGATACCGAGATGGTACCCAAAACGCTCTCGACTAACAGGTCCCTTCGAAGTGGTCCTCTTCCTTTTACGACAAGCACATTAACTTACTCAGCCTTCCCCGGCCTTACTCTCACGGTGGCTACGACTACACCCATACCAGCCGTAACAGCCACCCCAATATCCGTCCCGACCAACTGTCAAGGTGGCGGTGGGCCTGTAGCTGGACCAACTTCAGGTGGCTCATCAGCAGCGTCAATACCAGGGTCCTTGAGTGCGTCTGCTGGCTCGACTGCATCTGGTGCAAACGGACCTGGGGGCTCAGGGTGGACAGTTACCTATGCTTCGGGCGGGGCTTCATCCAGTTTTAGTCAACCAAGTGGACCACCTGGAGGCCCAGGATCTAATTCGACATCCAGTGGGCAATCCGCTGCATCGTTCCAACCTGGTGGATTAAGCCCATCGTCTTTTTCGAGTGGGCTGTCGTTCGGGTCTTCCGTTCAGTCTGGAGCCTCAACCCTCGCTTCAACTTCGACTGTTCTTCCGGCAGCTTCTTCAGCCTCGGGTTCTGTCGGAAACCCTAACATCGCTCCTGCATCGACCGTAGTACCAGCGAACTCAGCATCATCCGGTCAATTGGGAGGATCAAACCCCTCTTCTGCGTCGTCCAACGCAGCTGGAGGTTCTAACCCTACTTCCCCCCTGAGCCGAGTACCTGCAAGCTCTGCATCGTCTGGTCAACCTGGAGGGTCAAATGCACCTTCTGTATCAAGCGGAGTGTCAGGGATCTTGGCATCATCAAATGCAGTCGGAGGTTCTAACCCTTCATCTGCCTCATTAGGACGATCTGCAGCACCGAACCCCGCATTTGTCAACCAGCCCCATGTGCCGAATGGTCAATCGTCAGGCTCCTCTCCCGGCGGGCAGTCTCCAGCTTCCAATTCAGCTTCAATCTCCGCATCAGCATCTATTAGTCAAGTGCTGCCGCCGGGCGCGTCAGTTGTCACTTCTTTCGTCGCGGGGGCTGGCGGATCTGTCAGTGCTGCGACCGTCGTTCAGACTTTCTTGCCAACAGTCATCAGCTCTTTGACAACCCTCACCACTCCCCTCGTCACTTCTAGCATCATCACTTACGGTACCAGTAGCACGTCAGCCATACCAATCACCGTCTTCCCAGGCGGCACAGCATGGCAGATCCCAAGTGTCGGTCCAGGCACACCAATCTTGTCGCCTCCTACAGCGGCTCCAACCGTGGGGACCTTAAGTGTCAACCCGACATCAAGCGGGTCGAGTGCGGCAAGCAGACTTGGTGCTTCATCGGGTCTCTCTGGCTTCACGACGGTGGTGAGCTCAAATCCAGCGAGCTCCGATCCGGCAAGCCCTGGAAGTAGTGCAGGCTACCTGGGCCCTGTACCTGTCTCTGCAGAGCCAGCCACCATTACAGCAGCCTTGGCTTCGCAATCATCTGTCAACGTCATTGGACTTACTACTTATTCCAGTACTACCAGCCCATTGTACGATCAATATAGCTCTGGTGTCTCAAGCGACGGACACACTCAGGCGACAGGCGGAGCCGTTCCGTTCCCACTCTTCTGGTCTCACACATGTTGGGTAATGATACACAGCATGAGCTATGATTGAGCGTCGCTAACCAAGGCTTTTAGTTCTGTCCTCCGGGTCTCTGCTTCTTCTGTGGTATTTCCCTTCATCTCCCTCCGGGCATCTACCCTCCTGGGTCAATCGATCCTCCGCCTGGGTGGACAGGTCCTCTTCCCACTATAACCATCGGCAAAGACGGAACACCTTCTTATCCGGAGGAGCCTGAGGACCCTGAAAAGACGAACCAACCAACCAACCCACCATCCAGTGCACAAGCTAGCTCAAATAGTCCCTCGCAAACATCCATGGCTAGCTCACCAACCTCTTTGGCCTCTACGGGCACCCAATCTACGGTCTCCTCACAGACGAGCGGAGGCTTCGAGTGCGCACAGACTGGATGCGCTGTGTGCGTCGACAATGATCCGCCGTCCTCTTATCAATCCCCAACTTCAAAGTTGAAGCGCTCGCGACTGGTAGAGCGGGAAGAAGTCCCTTACGATGGTAATCTCTCGCCGCCGGCCAAGAATCCAGCTATTGTGCCTCACGCTCGAACTTATGCCAAAGGATTGGCCAAGCGCAAGTTGCCGGAGCCGAGCGACGATCCTTGGAATGGTGACCAAGACTCATACCTCTGGACCCAGTATATATACGCTAGCTGGGTACCTCTTAGACAAGACGCTAGTTTCCCCTCATCTGCTCTCGCATTCAGTCTCGCCGCGAATCGCTTCGACGTAGCCGTCCAGGGTCTTTATGGCTGCACCTCGCTGATGATCATCTCAACTCAGGGCGTTTGGATGTCCCATCTTTGGGAGAACCCCTCGTTCGAGGTTGGCGGCATCGTCAATCAGGCCAACTTCCAAGCCCACATCCTTGACAGGCTTGGGCCGGGGGATGGAACCGCCGAATTTCCTGGTCTCACTCAGTATCTCAACACTGAGTTCGCTGCGGACACCAAGCCAGTGGCCATCATCATGACTCCTCGGAACCGATTTAACCCGCAGCCGGGTGTTCTTATGTTCCAGAATCAAATCACCCAACTCTCGAACAAGGTCCAAACAATTTTTGGGGGCATATTGAACGGCATTCCGCTCATCGTCGACTACACCCCTAAGTCTGATCAGTTCTCGCAAGACTGGACGTCGTCTGGTAAAGCACTGTTCCAGTACGATCCTGTTGAGACTCGATGCAATGGCGTTCAGTGGGCTATGGCAAGACTATGGGTGGAAGATAGGGTATTGTATACGTACAGGCATTATTGGGTTGCGAGGGCAAACCAAATCGTTGCTCCCCCTGCCAACCCGCAACAGGCTGGAAACCAGAAACGCCAGGATCAAAGCGCCGATGATACCCCTTCACCTTCCTGCTTGGACTCAATGACGGCCACTGGATCCATATCTATGGGCGTAATGAGCAACTCTGGATCTTTGCCTGCTGCGTCCCCTGTCTCCGGTTCAAGCGCCGAGTCTGCTAGTAGCTTGCCTTCTTCGCCTGCGACTGTTCCCGCCACTACCACTGCTGCCGGTGTCAGTGCTGCGACGTCTCTGGCCGCAGTATCTCTCTCCTCCATTTCAACTGCCGCAGTCGCTGCCGCGAGCGCCGCCCAGATCACGATGTCTCCACTTTGCGAGCCTTAGTAAGTCTACGATCAGCTAGTTTGATTTGGATCTCGTTGGCTGACCATCATCTTAGTTCGCTTAACGCTGGCGGCGATGGAGGCGTCGAAAATTGTTTCCCAGCTGCGCTCTGTCAATGCTCCTCCGGAAATTTTGCGGGAACTTATACCACGATGACGGGGACCAACCAATGCGGTTATACCACAATCCCATCCTCCCAGTGGAACCCCAGCGACCAAATCTGCACTATAGGCTTGTCCGCCTCCAGCCTTCGCCCAGTCAAACCAACCACAACAGGCCAATACCTTTTCACAGAAACCGACCTTCCAACCAGCGGTTCCGGCACAACAGTCTATGGCTGCACATCAACCTTGACGTCCGAAGCTGGTCCCGTAATGGGCACTTACTGCGCCGGCTCCAAAACTCCCCTCACGACCCTCTTCCCACCAATTAAGACCCCCACAGGCGCCCCAGCGGCACCGTCGTGCAACTCTCCTGCCAACCCTCAGGACGCCTCCGCACAAGGCGATCCCGATGGCTACGTCCCCAACCCTGTCTTCTTCGAAGCAGCCATCGGCGTGTTCTGCGGTCCAAACTGCAAAGGCAAATCAGGCTGCCTCTCAGCCACCGGCCAAACACTCAGTTCCAACATGGACGCTTTCAAAGCAACATTCTTCTGCAGTGACGCGCAGTCTGCACCCGGAGGCAACAAGACACTCGACTGTGAGCCATATGATTGGGAGAATAATCCGCCCCCTTACTGGGAAGCGTCAGGGATTATGTTCAACCTGGGAGTCAAGTTGATAGACAAGAGCTGCCAGTGGACGGTCGATAGTGACACTTGTAACAAGTGGTTGAGTAACACACTGACTGGGTGTCCGGCTGCGGGTCTCGATTGGAATGAGTGTGTGGCGTGGACGGTAGGTGCAGGGGCAGCAGCGCTGAGTTTGAGTGATTGGCAGGCGGATCATCCTAGCGGTACTTGGTGAGAGCATTGTACTGGAGCACCAATTGGAAAGAGTATGACTATAAGCGAGCATTGTATGAGCGGGTAGAGTGATTATATTTCGCGATGAGTCCGATTATAGACTGTCGGTAGCTAACAATGGCAAAGCTCAAGTTTCAACCCAACCGGTAGTCTCGGTATCTTCATCAAGGCATGCAGTTTCTCCCCTCGAATGCTTTGTTCGTTGACTGTCCCTTGGAAACGAAGACTGAATGTCAGTAGTGTCCGAACAGACATTCATGCAATCTAGACTGGATGCATTCATAGCTACCTCCGCTGTGGGAAGCCCAGCTCGACAAAATGAACTCTGAAACCTGACCGATACACACAGTCCCGCATTTCTCGTTCTGTAAGAGAAGTGGCCATATGTCATGCATGGATTGAGAATTCGGCGGGCAGAAACTTCAAAGTTCTAAACCCAACAGAGAAAGGGAATTAAAATTCCCCAAGTCTCACAGTGCTGTGAAAGATTTGTCTCAGCAGGACTTGAAAGCGTTGAGGTTCCTCCTATGCCGAATTGAGGGCCCACTTCTATTGTCAGCGGTGTACAGACTTAGGAGTCAGGCTTTAGAAAATGTATCGGACTTCGCGACCGGGTTCAGCAAAGAGCGAATTCTTTCTTGGTGTCGAGGCCAGCTTCTGGGGTAAGATGAGCTTTTTCGCGTGCGTCATTCCTAAGTTTTGGTTTCTTAAGAGTGTACGCAGATGTTGAGCGCGCGAGCAGTCTCTTCTCTAAGTAGATGGCTCGAAGAAGTATCTAAATTGCATTTGTTTTAAAGTCGTTATCTTTGAGAGTGAAAGTGTGTTCATGTAGCATGCTTTTCTTTCCCCTCGTTGCAATCAGTGGTGTTGATATTCGTTCACAGGGTCATTAAGCAATGCCGATTACCCTAGTTTTGCTGTGGGTAACAACATTAGGATAGAGTATTCGCGTTGAACGCTTTCACAGTCGTTTCGACACTTTATCAATTATAGTAGCACTGGGTGGCGTGTATTGGCTGTGAAGAGGCGAGCGGCTACGAAGTGGCAATCCTTGCAACCACGTTTGACTCAATCACTACCCCGGGGCCCGTTCTCTGTATGATACAGTGCCTGTAGAGAATGTTGAAGGAGAAATCACAGGAGACTGAACCCGCTTTTCAATTTCATCTATTGGCAAGCTCTTCTGTGGCGTGCAATATTTGAGCTTGAATATGAGGCTAGCCTTCACTTCTCCACTCACAGCTCTATGACAGATCTGCACAAGTTTAGAAGATGTTACAACACTTCTAATGATAGCAGCGGTGAAATTTCAACGCTCTGAGATAATGTGTTGTCAAACATATGTATCTTTGACACACTTCTCGATGATTAGTATGTATACTGCTTCCCTCCTGCTCTTCTCCAGTATCTCTCCTTCCAACAACAGTCAACTTCACCAAAGTTGAAGTGAAGTCTCCCGATCCCCAAGCAGCACACGCATTCGATCAACCGCTGCATTAAACGTCGTGTGGATCATACAGTGATGCCTCAGCACGAAATAAACTGCGCCGACGCCTTCCCCAAGGCATTCAAGTCTCAGAACGACCTTAGCAGCGCGGAATTTTTTTATGACTCCGGTAAGCTTTGGGCTAAGTCGTCTTGAAGCTCATGGATGCTGACCTCAGATACCCGACCTAAGACATCCAAGACCCGCAGAATGATCAGACCATCAACATTGACAATGCCCTCAATACCGGTCTTCCGCGGACTCATCTAGAGGAGTGGACATGGTGGGAATGTCATCGCTGCGGCGCTGGGAATATTAGGTCATCGACCGATTGCCGCAATCCCGACTGCGGTCATAGAAAATGCAGTACGCGATGCAAACAGAATTAGTAATGGGCTGATGAGATCCTTCGAGGCCGGTTCTCTGATATGGTTGGTCCCAGAGAACTTGCGAAAAGTCGTTGGAGAATCCTCTTATTAGACTTGACATCCTTTTGCTTTGCAGAGTGGACTCCAAAGGAGACTGTGGAAGCTCAAGCCACTGCTTGGAAACTCGTGCTTTGCTTGGTAACTAATGCCTTTGCTTTAAAGTTCCATGCTTGTATTTAGACACCTATGCCTCTGCTTAGAGAAGGATACATTAGAAGTCATAATACGTTTCTTGAAAGACTTAAAACAAGTCTCGATCAATGCAGCTCAACAAATGTACCGAGCAACATGATCCGGAACATTGTTCTCGTAGATAACCTGCTTCATATCTTGACATACTTCAAATACTAGCAAGTTTTCGCCATTCCTCACCTTCATGCCAGAGCTGCGCCTTGTGATCTGTTCCTACGCTCTCATCAGCTCACATTGTCTGCGTTGGCGAAGCATTCACGTCCTCACACCATACCAAAGCGAGGGTCAGCGGTGGCAACGACAACTGCCAGCTTCGAAGAAGACATTCAGCAAGCCAAAACGTGCATCCATAGTCCCCGTCTACCAAATCGCCTGTCGAATAGTCTATGGTAGGTCCTTGTATTCTCCTTGTCGCCGTTACACTTTCATGCTGAGGGTCTAGATTAGAGGCATTCTGTGACGATGTGAATCGATATGAATTTGACGTGAAAGACTGTTTTTCCCATGAAAGGCTTCACGATCAAGAATTAGTGGTCTGAGAAGACCCGCTTGGCCTAAGCTTAATTAGTAGATAGACCACAAGACGTATGCTCGTCGTTATCCTCATCTGTCCTTCCTGCACTAACGCAGTGACTTGAGATCTCTTGTGGCTTGTACCGCCGAATTCATGAGAAGCCCAAAATCTGCCACGAGTCGGATCGTACCGAGAAAGATGTTGTTCAGCCTGTTCAACATGCCGTGAATCGGTGCGAGACGCTTAGTAATGGTAAACGCCATATGCTAAAAGCCAGTGCGAAATTTCTAAATAATGTCGTGTATAAACATCATTGAAAATGCTTAAAGGATTAGGGTGAGGTGTCATCTTATAATTCTTGGGCTTCAAGTCTCTCATGACTCTCACGTCACGAGCAGAATTTTGGGTCGTCAAGGAAAATTTGGGGGTTTGGGGGTTTGGGGGTTTGGGTTTCTTACTAGCAACGCTCGAGATGTCATTCGAATAAGTGCCAAATTTCACGCATCCAAGGAACACTGCACATATAGAATCGTCTGTTCTGTTGGACAGAAGTTTAGGGCGATCCATATTTTGTTGTTTTTGGCATGCAGAGACTCGACTACCTATTCATTTGATATCTCAGCTCATGCAAGCTATCTTTGATACACCACTCGACCGCCAATCAATCTGCCACATCACACTTACCTTGCTGACTCACCCTGCGCAGCCTCGGCAGAGTGGTGAGGACGGTAAAGCAGCTAGACAATGTCTTACTTGATGAGGGTGAGGTTGGGATAATTGATTGATTGTTCATGCAGCGAGGTCTCTGGCTAGAAGGATAATGCTGAAAGTTTTATTTGCCGCTGATTGGCTGATCTGCTACATTGTTCCATGAAGGGTATAGTCATGATGGTATCAATTGTGTTGTTATTTTCAATACCGCTGGGACTAATGGCTTGGCTCGGAGATAACCGGAGCTAGGCTAGAATCTCGTTTTGCCACCCATCTCTCGCTCACGATGTATGTTTCAAGTTTCCTCATCAGAAGTGCACTCACGTCTGGTGGTAAGTATTCGCGGCGCTCCGTAAGGCTTAGAAATGCAAGGGGCAACAGGCAATGACAACTCATAGCAATACAGCGACCTCTTCACGCAGCGTATTCAGTGCTGTATCATGGAACAGCCGAGCAAAAAACGTAAAGTCATTAACGACTTCTTCAAGCCCATTAGCAAACGCCCGAGTCCAGAGCTAGTCTTGATGCCTCCTCAGCCCCGACTGGAAGAAAATCCAAAGCAAGCCTTCACCCTTAAAGAGACGCCGGTACCAGGCTTGACTCTCCTGATCAACTTCATAACGCCTGCCGAAGAGCGAAGCATACTAGACTTCCTCAAAGATTCCGCAAAATGCATTTGGCGAACGGATCTCAGCCGCCGTACAATGCACTTCGGAGGCACATACTGCCTTATGCCACCCAAATCTGATACCTCGACGAAAGCAAAGCCTAAGACACTGCAAGCGCCGCCCATACCCCGAGAGCTTGAGTGGCTCATCCAGCGTATGGTAGACGCGCATGTCTTCTCCAACAACCAAAGGCCGCAGTATTGCATCGTCAATGAATACACCGATAGCCTAGGCATCTCTGCGCACACTGAGAACTTTCAATTCGGAGAGCCGGTCGTTGGGCTTAGCTTATTGTCGGCTTGTCCAATTCGGTTTCATGAGTTGACGGAGCCTTTTGATGGTTCTGTGCGTAGTGGAAAGGCTGGTAAGGCGAAGAAGACAGGCAGAAAGGTTGATGTGAATATGCCGGGAAAAAGCTTGTTGGTAATGAAAGGTGGGAGCCGGTGGAAGTGGCAGCATGAGATTGGGAGGAGTGCGAAGGGGAGAGGGGTGGGGTGGAAGCGGGTTAGTTTGACGTTTAGGTACAAAGCCGAGGATGAGAACCATGGAAGGTGATCTCTGAGCAGTAAATCACACTGATGGCCTTGTCTAGAAAGCAACAGTATCTGACACTTCTGCCGCTCTGTCTCTGGTCATTTCACGCTTGCCCTAGAAATTCAAAAGAACAATGGACGAGCTTCGTCTATGAGAGAGACCAATTCGAGAAGAGTGAGGCTGAAGCGAAGAAATGGAATTGAACTTGATTTCTCCTGGTGTCGTTGTATACTATCAGTCTCTCGGAATCTCTGGCCTACTACAATACGACTTGCGCGACCATCCTATCACAACATAATGCTCTCCTGAATTCTCTGCAACCTGCAGGTCGTTTCAGCAAGACCAACCACCCTTGCTCCGTCTCGCCATTGCGATTATCACACCACGCCAGGCCGCAGCTCTTGCGATCCTCTTAAGCTCTAAGGTCGCTAAAACAGTGCTCTCCACTGCAACCGCGCCTGACAAGTAGCCAACCACAGGGTCACCTATAAGTACGCCGTTAACGTAAGCCCATAACCGCCAACATCCACTCAAGTACAGTAGCTGATATCTACTCAAGGCTGGTTGAACTCGCCCAGAGCGGAGACTTTACGTTCATTCATGTCTCTGTCGTGCGGATCGTTTATGTGACCTCCCATTGAGGACGGGCGCACAAGATGGCATCTACCAATGGAAGAGAGTCTCAAAGCTTCGTGGGCGCAATGAAATCTGTTTTGAAAGGACGAGCCTGGCATGGAAGCAAGGCTTGAAGAGCTCGCGAACACTGACACGCCGCTCCATGGACAGGGAGTCCATGGACAAGGAGTCCATGGACAGGGTGTCCATCGCGGGGAACGATTTGTTATTTTTGAGGCTACAAATTTCTTGAGCAAGTTGCTGCAGGTTCTGATGATGACATCTTCGAAACGGAAAAGCATTCAGGTGGTAATTGTTTGTGTCGTAAAGTTCATACTTAGTCTGAGTGATGTTCAGGATTGCATGGCTGATTGTTTTGGATGGCCGCAGGTTAGTATGCTTCCTTGTACTCACGGTCCGCAGCTTCAGTGATAAGCGCATAATTCACTGGCTACAAGCTGGTTTCTTGAGCATATATTCGAATATATGGAGTGAAACAGTCGAACGGTATGAAAAGAGTTCTTTGCAGGAATTACAACATAAGTCTTCCTCAAATATCCAGAAAGTCTTCAGCGCAACTGAATTCCATGACCATGCGCTCTTGATCGCTATTGCCCGTGAATTGCCCTAATCTAGCGACAAACCCAAAGACAGTACCCTTTTCACCTTGTGCTGTACCTACTAGCCTGGTCGACCTCTTCCTCAGAATCAGCCACGCCACCTAAAAAGCGTATCGCCTGGACACTCTTTGCAAGCTTGCCCATCTCTCTGGCGTCCAAGTAGCTCTACACAGCAGTCTCTATATCTGCGGCTCCCACGTCCAGATGTTCAATTACCTCTTTGTTAGGCAGAGATTGTTCCATCGTAATCCTTCCCACTTGTAGGATCCGCAATGGTGTAGTTACCAAAACAGGCAAAGTCATAGTTCGATAAGGTGTACGCATCTGCTTGGCTTTGCAGGAAGCTGTTTATCGCGCACATCCCATCCGACCTGCCCTTACAAGCCCCACCGCGAATTGTGTCTAATGGTAGAATCCCATTGTTGAGGCGCATTCGGATAAATTTGTGTGTAGCATTCGCAGGATTGTAACCGTACTGGGTTGGATAGTATTGAGTCCTATGATTAGCGACTGGGGCGGGATCACCAGATGCGCATCCGATGACTTCAGTGATCAATCTACCACCAAACGGCGTAAGATGCGAGAGAATAAAAGGCCTATTGGGATTGGGAGGAACCTCAGTCAAGCTTGGAGGCACCTGCAAAGTTCAGATTTAGTATCGTTATTTTGAGGGACAAGAGTAGAGTTCTAAAACACATTTGGGGATCGTGATGAGTAACTTGCTTCGCAGACATGGCTTGGGACTCAAACATGGTAGTGAGAGTGAGAATATTGCTCTGGAAGTTGCACATACTCGGAAGTAATCGAGAGACAGAGCGGTCAGAACTGAGATGATTATGTCGTCGTGACTGAAGTCTGCGTAGAAGGCCTGTCCTAGCGGAAATTCGGCTTCATTGTTATCGTAGGTAGAGTTGACGGACGAATTGGACGACGTGATGAATTGACGGTCAAGGCGGGCGATAAGTTCTTGTAGATAACCGACGCCTTGGGCACGACCTGTCGGATTACCGAAAGAGTAATCGTAGTAGTATTGCATATCCAGGGTATTCTCGAAGCTCTCCCACTCCTCCAAGGTAAAGAGAAAGCAAAAATCAGACTGACTAAGGTAGCCCATCTCGTATGCACAGATGCTTTGCATGGCATATGTATCGTTGGTGTTGAAAATAAACCCGGAAGGAGCATACTGTTGCATTCGGGCCGTGGCGTTCTTGAGATACTTGGGGATGTATGTAAAGAGGTCATCATCGCCTAGATAGCCAATCACGTTGTCGTTATCATTAAGACAGCTGTCGTAGGATGCTAAGGTATTATTCTCAGTACCGCCTTCTGGAATAATAACGACAGTGAAAGAAGTAGAAGCATTGGTGAGATTCGGATTTGGCATGGTCTCGAAGCTGGGTCCGAAAAACCCGAGCGACCAATTAATTTCGCTGTCGTAAATACGAGACTGAGATGTGGTTCGTAACACAGGCTTCGGTCGAACAGATCCATTGGGGAAGCTGGCATTGTATGCCACTTGACCGACGGAGGCATTATACAGCGTCCTGCCGTATCGGTTCCAGAAGGTGACTCCAGCTTGGAATTCAGTCGATGCCCCGAGACCGGTCAAAAAGCTTTCTAGCATCTCGTAGTGGTAGGTATTCAGGAATTCCAGAGGCCCGGTGAATAACATGCCGGTGTGGGTGGAGGTGAAGTTGGTCAGTTTTTGAGCGAAACGCTCATCATTACCACCATCGTCGTCTCCACCCGTAGGAAAACGATTTGCATGTCTCTGTAGCGAGTGTGCCTGTTCAAGTTGGCAGCCTGAGGGAATTCCAACATCCTGGACACCGAAGTAATTATCGGCATTGTCGGAATAGGGTGAGATCTCACCCCAATACTTAGAGATAATGTCCAGGTCTGTGAGAAGCTTTGTCGAGTTTGCTGTCTGTCGTGGCAAATTTTGGGCCTCGGCAGTAGCCAGGAACAAGGCTGTGACAATAATGAGCCGCATCATGAAGTCTAGGTGTGTCTAGCTGAGTGAGGCTGGCAGAGATAGAAAGGTGAACAAAGAACAGCCCCATCAGCCCCCTGGGAGATCCAGGTGATCTTATACAAAGGGAGTCGGCAGATCAATAGCAGATTGAGCTAAAAGCCGACGTCGTCAACGGTTTCCGTTTAGATGATAGTGTTGGAGGATTGTGTGCGCAACGCGCAAATGGAGAAGTGATGAAGGCAAAATTTGATTGGCTAAGTAAATCTAAAGCCTTTACCTCGGGGCCAGAAAAGGAAGGTATTACACGTGGAGGAATGAATTGGCGAATCATGTTGGGTAGTGTGGGCGGCAGGATGCACGCCACATGGAGGGGTTGAACAGAATTGAAAGACTGAATCCATGTCAGATACCGGCACGTGTTGCTGAGATTGGCTCATGTAGTTGGAAATGTCTATATACACTTCTTGGAGGTTCGCAAAGTAGAGTATTTGACCTCTGGATGAACACAAGTGTAAAAAACCTTTTACTCTGGTGTTACAACCTTGTGTCGAATTGAACCAGGACTCCCGTCCCCGCTGAGACTAATGCAAGCCAGCCTTAGTCCACGGGAAAACCTTCCAATAGCAAATGGAGCTTGCAAGAAAGCTTGCTATAGATCAACCGTGCGAAGTCAGACAGACAGGCATCGTTTTTGGTAGAAAAGCTCTGTGGTGGGCTTGGAAGCGGTATTGTTTATCTACCCAGCTTGGCGCCTGCTGCGCTTTCTTCTGATTTCCTCTCATTCTTGTGCGCCACCACCTGCTATCATGCCTCGGCTTCGCTCGGAGAACAAACTGGACAAAGGCGACCTAGAAAAAGATACAGCTGAGCTGCAAAGTCTCAGCCCGTTTAAGGAATCTCTTGTCGTGAAAAGCGATGGTCACACAGGACTGATTTCTCATAGACATTACTTTACAGCTTCTATTCATGATTCGCAATGGTCGTCATCGAATTAAAAAGGCGGTCTTGGACCCCCTGCGCAAATTTGCTCCTCGACAGCGGCAAGACGACCGGCGTACCTAGACCGAGCTGTCTTCTCTTAAGCGCCCTGAGTCCATCTCCGCTGCATCCTGATCGCTTCCAATGCCAGTCATGGGGATACCAAACCCGTGGGCATGTCCCCAGTCTCCCTCCTCAATCTCTTCGTCTCGGCCGCCAACTTCTCTACTCTCCAATTGGAGCACCACACCACCATCATTTGAGCTCTTTTTATTGATAGCTTCGGTACTCCCGGTGATTGCTCGCGAAGCTCTTTTGTCGAAAGCCTTACTGGGAGCACTGGATCCTGTGGTCGTCTTCTTGGATTCTTCAGAGTCGGAAGTCCTGTAGTAATATGAGGAACGGCCGCGCTCGCGGACGGATGCGCGGAAATTGTCGGCACCAGGACGCTTCAAGAGGATCAAGAAAATGGGTCGCAGAGTTGGAATGCAGGCTGCTATGATGATGACGTTCATTTCGATTCTGGGAACGAAGCTGTCAGCTTGCACATTTACAAGAACACCAGGACCTGCTGATGTTCCGCACGGTATTTGCTCACCCGTTCCACATAAGCAGCTCAATGGTCTGCCCTGGAAGACTATCAGCCATCTCGACGGGTCATCAGCACTACTGGTGGATACTTACAAGTGATATCAGTCTTAGCCTTGACCGTTATGGGAACTTTCGAGGTCTTGACAGCCGCGCATACTCCGGCACTTTCAAAAGCATCAGTAGCTGATGTCATCCACATATAGGAAGGTGCATGACTTACAAGACTCCCATACCTAAAAGGAGGGCCAACAGCAACTTCTTCTGTGTGCTCAAATGCAGCTTCCATACAATGTCGACTGGGATGAAAGCAAGGGCAAAATCCAAGAATGCCCAGTAACCTTAGATGGTCCAGGATCAGCAACGCTCCAATGTTGATAAACAAGAGCAAAGAGCTTACTAGCAATGACCAGATCCCAAGTGTTGACAGGAATGGGGTTCCAGCAACTTCCGGTCCCTTCCTTGATCATGCCCTTGTCCCAAAGCGCCCTTGCGGGTTGACATTGGACATAGAACAAAGTGAACGTGATGACAGCTGAGATGAAGACACTGATGGAGATGCCTCTCAGCAGCCACTTTCTCCAGTCGTTGGGGCCTGCAATTCTTTCAATCAAAAAAGCCACAGAGATTTTGCCAACGGCAATACTGAACATGCACAGAGACCGCGATATTGTATTCAATTCCAGAGCGTTCGATATCTGAGCAGGAGTCAAGTAGTAGAGATGCCTCGCATAGCCACGAGCTGCATAAACACTCCACATAATGGCGACCACGAAGTCAAGGACCTGGCCTAATCAGCTCTTCTAGCTGGTGGATACTCACTAATAGGAGGTTCTCACAAGAGCAAAACAGATACACCAATCGTCCCACCAGACATTCCGCGTGAGCTTTGTACGTGAGTACATCCTTCCGACCACGAACATGAGAGAGAGGATCTCCAAAGTCCAGGTGAAGGCATGAACCTCGCCAGCCCTGTTGTAGTCGCCTCCTGGAGGCGGTGGACCTGAGCTTGACATAATGAAAGACGGTTGATATATGATAGCAATTGCAAGCCAAGAGCAGTTGCAGCAAAATGGCTCAGATGGCGACTGGCGGCGAAATGCTCTAGCCTGAGAAAACGGAGGATAAGATGAGATCCACTTTGAACCCCATCTTCGGGGGACTACTGGTAGCTTTGTATTCGATTCGATGAGCTCGACCTGCTGCAAGAACAACTTTCCGGCTTCCGGCCATTAGGACGCTTCTCTAAAGTGAGATTACGTGGATGAAATCAAGACAGCCAATCCGACATCGCAACCCCGTGCGAGTAAGCAAATAGTTTGTGATCAAAAGATAGGATTCCATGTATTTCGATCAGACAATTTCCAAGCATATGGTGAAAAAACCAGGTTTCTGGTTGGTTCCTGAGGCAGACTGAGGCGAACTTCGGCGGATTTCATCTAGATAGACCCGAAACAGGGACCAATCACTCGGAAAATATGTCGTAAAGACTAATGCTTTCGGGTGTAGAGCCAGACTTACAACACAGAGACGCGCCATGAGTGGATCTCGGCAATAAATCGCGCGTATATCACATACGCGCTCCAGTGTCACGGTGTCGGAAAATTAAATAAACGTTTCCCTAACGGTTCGGAAATGAATTGCGGGGTGCATCGAATCTGATCCCGGTAATAACTGCCAGAGATTTATCTCGATGCTGTGTTGGTAATTATACTCCTTCAACGCGGGCCATATTCAGAGGATTTCAAAAGTATCGCGTAGCGAGCGTGCGGATTCGGCGAACTATTGACGCCTTTCTATTATGCAGCGTCATCAGACTGCTGCCTCCTGCTCATCGGCGTTTTGCTACTTACCAGAATAATGGTGCTTGAGGCGAGTGCAGTCGAATCATGCGAAAGCTAATTTTGCATCGAAAGCTCCCCTCTTCGGTGATCGTGCAATGAGTATATAATGTTATGCAGCATACAGCGCCTGCGTCCAGATTACCGCATGAATCATGTGCAACACGTTGATGGTCCAAGCGCAGAAGGACCTAATCTGATAGGTGGAGAGTAAAGGCCACTCCACACTCTTGCATCATGCGCCTTCTTGAAAGCAGACTGCGTCATAGCGCACGAACGTTCTGATCCATGTTGTACACGTCTAGAAATCAAATTCCGAATATGGAGGAGTTCATGGGCTCGAAACCCACCAATCTGAATGAATGTTGCCTAGTAGACCATAGCCGAAAGCCGGCAAATCCACTTTGCAAGAGATAATGCTGATTCTCTCTTTCCTCTGGTCCTCTGCATTGTCTAGCGCCCCCAGAGCTGCATTTCATCGTCATCGCAGCATCAAACTTGGAGTCCCCGACGAGATCAATATTGAACATTTGTTTCATTTCCGCCAACCATTCACGCTAGTTCGGGAACAAAGCAGGGCTCAATCCGAACTGAGAGCCCGAGATGGGATTCGACCAATTGCGTTCTCTCTGCAGCGCGCCTGCCGCCTCAGAAATACTTGCACACGACCCCGTCTCAATCTTTGCATTTCACTGCATTCATTGTCTCCGCTGCTTCCGAACTGTGAAGGAGCGTCGCGAATCGACTAAGTTTCTCAACGAATATCAAACCTCGCGTTGACAGACCTCGCATCTACGGAGATAAAAAATGTCAAAACCAGCTTTTCTTTATATGCCACATGTGCCATGGCTACCGTTATGCCAGAGGATGAAGAGTCAATCACGTACTGAATCATATTGATCACATGGGATAGCGGGTCCCAACCTATAGAGGCCTGCTGAACAACACGACGAGATCTAATAGGCTGCGAGACTAATGCACAACTTGACTACTCTTGCATTCATACGGTTGGATCCGAGAGGCAACATTCTAGCGTGGTATAGAGTACGGAAACCCGCGAAGGGCATCTGCGGAGAGCATTTCTTCTTCGCGGGCTTGCTTTCTAGTAGCTTCCGTCCGCCAGTATGCACACAGTGTTTGCTGCTCAACCATGCGTAGTCTCATTGAAATTTGCGG